GAACATGGGGATGGGGTATACTATGTTATAAAACAATGGTGGGGACAGGTCCCCGGCACACTCTCTGAGCCTCTGCTCTCATGGCTGGCCTAATTAATTTCCTCATCCATTGTTCCAGCCATACCTGTGCCACAGGATTGCTGGCTGGGGGAGGATCAGCCAGCACACCAGCTGCCTTCCAACCTGGGTTTCTTAGAGTCCAGAGTGGCCAGTGTCTGCCTGGGACTGCAGGGAGAAGGGGTTATGGAAGGGTGGTGCAGCAGCTGCTCTCCAGAGCCCTCTGGATCATCCTGCTGTTCACTTAAGCCATTGGGATTGTTTCTTGTGGCTCCATAGTGATCATCTCTGGAACCATTGCCCATAACAACCAACCTGGAGGGAAATACCCATTTGTAAAAACATATCCAGGTCCATCTGTACCATGGTTTTAGTGTGGGAACAGCCCGGGAAGCAGACAGGCTTAATTTTGACCTTGGTTTATACTATAGAGCAAGGATTCTCAGAGAAGGCTGATAATTTGGTCACAGACATGTGGTGGTACTGGGATTCATTTCACTCAACAAACAGTGCCCTAAGAATGGAAAGGTTTTCTGTTCCTGCTGACCTAGAATACCTGGGCCAGCAGACTATGAATGCCACCAACCCCAGACTCTTCCCAGCTTCCTGCTCTGTCATCCCAAGCGTGAATCTTCTGTCCTCATGCTTGTAAGATAACTGTAGAATACCTGAGCATCTCATCCATGTTACTTGATCTCTCAGCCTCAATTTCTCAACCAGGTAGGAAGGGCAAGAGAAAAAAATAATCAAAATTCCAAGATTGATCCTTAAAAAAATAAAACTATCCATGAAGCCCCAGAAAGTTCTGCTGGTGTCTCCCTGTCCAGAACTGAGCCTCCTGACCATCCTGCATACCAGGGAGATGGGGAAGAGGAAGAGTTTATGAGGCACATTGCTGCTTGGTACAGAATTAGAATTCAGTCACAAAAAAGATGGGAACAGAAGTTTGGGAGGCCACCAACCAAGTGTCTGTAGTTCATGAAGCTCTCGCATCAGGACTGGTGCCCTGAGGTGCCCTCACTGAGGTACGTGCCACTGTAGGTGCCATTCCCCATTTGCTGATTTGCAGGTAGTGTAGACTGTGGCCATAGGCGCCATGTTTGCTACTTGCTGGCTTAACGGCTAGCAGACTGTGTGGGTCTCAAAGCATGCACTGTCTTTGGCAGAGCCTTCTTTTCCCTCCAGGGACTGGCAGGGAGGTGCTGTAAAATGGCACCTGTAATGGTGGCTTGTGCTGCAAAGAAAACCACAGACATGCACCATGAGCAATGTGTGTCTGCAGAGCTTCTTCAGGAAGGTGAAGTTCATGCTGACACCCTTCTTTCCACTCTGATACCCCTACCTCCAGAGATACAAGCCTACAGAGCAGGGTGGGTTCAGCAGGCTGCAGGGAGCAACTCCTGTTCTTACAGCTGTGTGTGCTGAATGTGCAGAACCTACTGCCAGTGCCTGGAGCTGCTGGGGAGAGAAAAAGTGACGTGGAGCCATGTAAACACAGGCACCTGAGTTTTGCATCTGCCCTCAGTGAGTCTGAGAACATGCTGCGTACCAAGACTTCTTATACCTCTTCTTAGCATGTTAAGAAGAAAACAGGATCTTAAGAGAAAAGACTTTGAACTTGGACTGTTCAAATCCAAGAGTGTCTCAGATGCTGCTCCATCCTCCCAGCTGTGTGACTTTGGGGAGTTACTTGACCTCTCTCATCCTCGATTTCTTATCTGTGCAGTATGGTGATCTTTACCCTATAGGGTCATGCAGTTTCAGTGAGAAGACAGGCAGGGCCTGCTATAAGGTGCGAGGCAGATGCCCTCCTTATGCCACCATCACTGTCTTCACTCTGCCCATAAACAGAGTAGTTGCTAGACTCTTCTTCTAGACTCTTCAGAACAGGGCAGAGAAGGATTAGTGCAGCCTGGGCTTTGTCTCGGAGGGGACCTCTGGAGAGGGCCTTCTTTTGTCTCCTACTGAGCCATAATAGAGCTCAGTATAAGACTCTGGAGCTGGAAGAGTTGGGAGTGTGTGTTCCCACTACCATGCCTGCCAGGGGTGTCTTCTGATGAGTTCCAGGACAGGGGACTATCCCCCTGTCAGGCCCAAGAATGCAGAGCAGCATGCAGTTCTGATGTGCTGGGTTTCTGGTGTCCTGTCTTTGTGAGAATGTGGGAGACACTGGGTGATTCATTTCCTCAGGGGCAGAAGGACAGAATGTTCCTTTGGGGCTGAAGAGGACAATGGCATGCATTTGTGTGAGTTTTAATTCTTCCATTCAGTCTCAGGCACAGTCTTCCTGGTTTGGGCCTATGGAAAGAGAATGACAGGCTGACTTAGTGCATTCGAGAGTGTGTGTGTGTGTGTGTGTGTGTGTGTGTGTGTGTGTGTGTCTACACTCAGGGGATGAAGCCACCAGACCCTTGGCACAAGGGCACAGGGCCTCATGATGGGGGTTCTGAGCCTGGTTCTACTACCAGTTGGTGAACTAGAGGAAGTCTTCTAAATTTTGTCACCTGTGAAATGGGTTGGCAGACTTTGCTGTGTCCAGGGTCAGGTACTCTGCTTGGCTCTTGGTGGGCATTCAGCAAACTTTCCCCTTCATCTGAGCCCACCAATGACTGAAGGCTTAGGAGGCTGTGTGAGGGTGGAGCTTGGGTTTGAATTCTATGTCTGTGGCAGAGGGGATGCTGCCTGGCTTGGCCTATTTTTAGAGGGAGCCATGTGGGTTATGGGAGACAATAAAGAATGTGGCCCCACAATGGATCATTGTTCCCACGGTGACTTCAGGACATAGCAGATGACCTGTGGTAGGGGTGGGGCCATTGCTCCAGCAACTAGGTACTTTTCCAGTGTTTGTTATGGACAGGAAAGCAGTGCTGGGCCCTGGGGAAGGAGAGCAGGGGCCGGGAGATAGGGTGAGCTCTGGGTTCTGGGAAATTATTTTGGGGGTGACAAGGCAGATGACTCAGGTGGAACTGGTGCTGGGGATAAGCCTGGATGGTACCAGGGAGCTGGACCTTTTCAGTACTGTGCTTCTGTGTGTGCACCACCACCGTGCAGAACTTCCGCAGGCCCAGGTTCTCCCTGTTCCATGGACACAGTGGAGGCCTTGGCTTTGCTTGCTTCAGGAGACTTTAAAGTAGGGGCTGGGAATCCCTATAGGCCCCTGCCTGGGACCTGGGAGGGGGACATGGACTCTTTGTGTGTGTGTGTGTGTTTATGGACGTGTGTGTTTGAGACATGTCTAGCTATGTAGCTTAGGCTGACCTTGAATTTGAGATCTACCTGCCTCAGCCTCCCCTACAGAGCTGGGAATACAGGTGGCATCACCACACTTAATTAGGACCAGTTCTGGGTGCAAACCCAATACTGAACTTCCATCATCTAGAGCCAGATACTGGGGATGAGGGTAGAATTCTTCTGTTTTGAAATCAGTTCCCTGAGTTGGGGACCTCTGGCCTCCATTCTAATCCCTCCCACCACCCCAGTGGGCTAAATGTTATGTTTCCCAGAGTACCCTTCAGTCCTCCCACACCACTACTTTGTGAGCTCTTAGCTACTCATCCTTCTGGGGCTTAGCATCTAATAGGTGCCTAGTGTGTTGGCTGACACTGAAATTGCTTAAATCATAGGCAAGAAACAGCAAAGGTGGCAACCCTCCTCCCCAGCTGTGAGCTGGTCACATATCCTTAGAGGGTCACTCAGGTCTAGGAGCCAGGTGGTCCAGGCACAGACTTACTGGCTGTGTCCAGTGGGTTCCCAGTACTCCCCAGAAGGTTGGCAAGACTGCTCCTATATTACAAATGGACATGGCTTTCCCAAACTCACAGGCTCTTAAGTGGATGACACACCTCAACCCTTCTTCTGTCACATGAGGCTGTGAACACTGCCCTTCCTCTCTCCTACCATGCGCCAGTGACTGCTGTGGGTCATATATTGACTGGCTTCTGGGAGCAGACTGGTGGCACCATGCCCTACTCAGTGCCTCACTTACTCTAGTTATCTGACCTGAAATGTCCTCCCAAGGTGTGAGTGTGCTTTGACATGTCCAGCCCCTCAGTGTGTGAGGAGGTGAGAAGTATGGGAGACACCAGGACCAGGGCTTCTGGGGAACCCGCCTCTGTCTCTTCCTGCCTGAGTGACTCTGACTAGCAACTTCATCTTTCTGAGACAGAGAGAGGCACACAGCCTTGCCAGGCTCTGGTCAGGAATAAAGGATCTGGAGGAAAATGGCTTGGCTACTGAGAAGATTTCAGTATACCTCCAGGCCAACCCCTGTGGAGGACAGACAAGAGTTAGGGGACATTTCAGAGGGAAAGCTCCTCTTCTCAGACTCAGAAATCACTCTGAGAAATGAGTGACCTGGGTCCTTAGAACCCATGGGTGACCACAGACAGGGCAGAAATCTGAGATGGAGTTAGATAAAGAAACGATAAGTAGAGGAGACCTACGGAGAGAGGCTATGGCCACCATCTTGGGAAGTTCAGGTAACTGTGGCAGGTGAAAGCCAGTACATGAGTGACTTGAAGCACTTGCAGCTAAGGTGGGGTACTTTTTGTAGGGTGGAAGGGGATCGTGTCTCTAGCTCTTAGGAAGGAACGTGGGGGGTTAGTGTGAAGTTGCTGAGTACTGGTTGAGTGAGTCGCTCAAGCACAGGGGCTGGAGTCTGGAGAAGGGCCACCTGGCCTCTGAGAGGGAAGCAGGAGGGAGGAGAGATATTGGTTCATCTAGGATTCTTTTGGTCAACCCTAAATGGTCTCTGTGAGGTGGGGCACTGATGGAACACTTAACTGAAAATTCCAGGAGGTGGACCCCACTGCTCCAAGGTTCTGGTGGCCAGAGGACTGTGTACTCGAAGCTTCCTCAAAACACAATTGGAAACATGTTGGGTATCAACAGTCAATAAACACAGTGAGCCCCACATGATGGATCTGTTTGCTGTCTTTGCTCAGGAGCAGGACATTGAGACCTTACATGGCTCCCTTCATGTCACGCTATGTGGGACACCTAAAGGAAACCGACCTGTCATCCTCACATACCATGACATTGGCATGAACCGTAAGTGCTAAGGGGCCCTGGTTTCATGGTCAGATGATTCCTGAGAGGGTAGAGGGGAAGATCTAGTAGAAGGCTGGTGGTGGCGAGCCAATGCTTTCTCCTTTTGCGGGGTTTCTTGGAGCTGCTGTGGGAGGAACTCTTGATACAGCCTGGAAAATCCTGGACTAGGTGTAAGGCTTGGCATTGTCTGTGTGCCCAGATGCCCTGGGAACACAGGGAGCCTCTGCTGTCCATCTGCCTGTGACAGTGACTTTAAAATTAACATAAGCAATGGTGTTTGATATTGCCACAGAAATGTACAACCATCAACCCAGCAATTTTAGAATATTTTCATCACTCCCAAAAGAAATCCTATACCCTTCCTCTATCATCCCGAATCTTCTCACTCTCTGCCCCTGGTGAGAACCATCTACCCATCTATAAATTTCCTTATTATGGAATTTTCTGTCAGGAGACTCTTACAATATGTGGCCTTTGTGACTGGCTTCCTTCGTAATGTTCTCAAGGTCATATCATGCAGCCTTTATTGCAGAATAATATTCTGCTGTGCCTATCCACATTTTGTGTATCTATTCTTCAGTTGATAGACATTTCCACTTTTTGCTATTCACTGCCATGAATGCTTATACACTGAATTTTAAGATTATCAGGAAGTGTTACTATATGTGGGTTCCATTGTACTATATGTGGGTTCCCCATTTTTCATAAGAAGAATGGAGTCCCATGGTCCATCCTATGGAACAGGAGGACCGTCTGTTAAAATCACGTGGACCACAGGTGGATTTTTGCCAAAGGTAGCGAAACAGAAGGCAATTCCCTTGTGAAATGGAGAATTTCAAGTTGGATACTTACTTGATTTTAGATTGGTGAACTGCTTCGTTACATTTTTTATAGTGTTTACGATACCTCGAGACGGGCATGATATTAGTCACTGCAAGCCACACTTCCCCTTCATTCTCACATCTCTTTTTATCGTACATCTTGACCATCTGTCATTTGCACCCATTACGTACCAGGTTCCATGCTAGGCACTTTGTGGACATCACCTTATTTCACTGGACTCTCGTGAGGAAATGGAATTGCATATGTTGATGTTATTCCCCTATTGTAGAGAGGCCCGTTATCAATTACAGTAGGCTAAATACGGTATCTGAAGACCCCAAGACCACAGTGACTTACCACAGTGAACTTCTTTTTCTCAAGTAAATTCAGGAGGATGCGTTCTGTGTGGTAATTCAAGGATCCAGGCTCCTTCTAACTTGCGGTGCTGTAGCACTAGCCCTTGAGTCGTCCTAGGTAGGATGGGAGAAAAAGAGAGGACTGTAGAGATTGTGTGCCACACATGATGAAAAAATGGTTGGCATCACTCCTATTGGCCAGAACCCAGTCACATGACTTCTCCTAGTTTCAAGGGAGCCTGGGAAATGTAGTCCATCCATGTGCCTAGGAGGAAAAGAAAGATTGCTGGCCAACTTTGCCTCAGACTCCAGCAATCTGCAGACTCATCCCAGGCCACATAAGTGGAAAGTTTATGCTTTATTGTGCTTCCTTTTGTTTGAAAATTATGTGTGGCCTCACTGGCACATAGGATATGAGGGCTTAGAAGATCCAGGGAGAAAGAGTACCAATGGAGGAAGCCCATCTTGTACCACTGCCATGGAAGTCATGGTTGGGGAAGTGGTAGGAACCAATCTGGAAGCCTCTTCCAGCACCAACTACAAGTTTTGGACTCACTGAGGCACAGATGGTGGAGATAGCCAATCATCTCTATCCTGTCAGTGCTCCTCAGCCTCACAGCTTGTTCCTCACCAGAGGAAGGTGAGGTGGAAATGGGGAAGACCTGTGTCCTTTCTGTGAGCCCCTCTCCCCTTGCTGAACAGTAACAAAACAGACAGGTTTTGCTACCCAGCTGTCTACTGTTTTCTCACCTAACTCCTTTCTCATTTCTCCCTGCCTGTTCTCCAGATAAAACCTGCTACAACCCCCTCTTCAACTCTGAGGATATGCAGGAGATCACCCAGCACTTTGCCGTCTGCCATGTGGATGCCCCCGGCCAACAGGATGGGGCTCCCTCCTTCCCTGTGGGGTAAGAACAGGGGTCCTCATGGCCCATGAGCCAGGCATGGTGGAGACAGGGGTGGGAACCTCAAACTGGCTTTAAAATGTTTTAATCATGGTGAAACAGTAAGTTTATTATTTCAACCATTTTTTTGTGGTGATGTATGTGTATAAGACTTACCATTGAGCATTAAGAGTACAGTTCAGTGACATTAAATACACCCACACTGTCCTATGTGATGTGTGTACAGTTGCCACCAGCCATCTCCAGGACTTTTCCTCATCCTAAACTGAAGCTGTGCCCACTAAATCCTAACTCCCCACTGGGCAGGCTGCCAGGCATGCTCAGCTAAGCCGACAGACCTGGGACAGGCCTTGTCAGGATTGACAGGTAGGGAGAAAAACCTAGAAAGTGGAGAAGAAAAAGAGAGGAAAGGAAGCACTATTGACGGAATACTTCCGGTGGGCCAGGCTTCAATAAGTTCATTCACAAATGTAATCTTCACTTAGTCCTTGGGGCCAGTATCTGTGATTGGTTTTGTTAGCTCTATTTTCTAGAAAAAGAGACCAGGCATGGTGCAGTGAATTCCCTTGTTAAGGTCTCACAGCTGGGAGTGGGGGACTAGGGGCTCTGGCCCCAGTCTGCTGACTAAAATCTGTGTCTCTTTGGAGCATCAATTGCCGGACCTGCCTAAAGATGATGTGGCTTTTCACTTGCCCACTGTGCTGTCGCAGCCAGGCTCACTGACCCCACCCCCTGCCACCCCATGAGCATCACTCCCCCCATGAAGTCCCCCACCACTTTGATACAGGGTCTTTCCTTGGAGTGGTAGGCTTCCAGAAGGGGCCCTATTGGCATTTACAGATAGATTTCCTTTTTATTTAGTGTTCAGACGTATTTTCAATCATTAACCTTTTTCAGAGAACAAGGGAAGGGACACTCAGCCACATGGAGCCAGGACCTAGAGTAAAAAGCTTATTAAACCCCGGGGACACAGTTAACTGTTAACCAACAGATAAAACTAGAGGCCTTTCTAAGTCAGTCTTGACTTAGACCAACTGACTGAAAAACTTGGGGTCAAACAGAGGTTCTTACTCCTCATAGGAGGTCTTAAAATATTCTATAGACTGGACCCCACCCCAGGGACTTTTATTCACTTGAACTGGAGACAAGGGTCAGGGGATTTTCCCCCGAGTGGTGGAACAAGTGTTGGAATGGGACCATGGTTCTTCCTGCCTCCTGGAGTCCACACTGGGAATCTTCCTGGATTCCAAGGATGACATCCCTCAGTGCTAGTGCTGAGTCAGTAAACCATGGGTGGAGACCTCTGGCTGCCTCCTCCTGCTCTGGACTCTGCCTCTGTAAGGAATCTGTGGCTCCCTTGCTGAGCACCCAGCCTCGGGCAGCCAGGAGGAAGCAGAAGCCCTTGTTAGTTAGGTGACTTTGACAGTGTCACACTTAGGAGTAGCTGGCTCCAAGTTGACCATGGCCACTTCAGAAGGAGCTTGATGTCTTTGTCCCTCTTCTCCCACAAGACTCAGTACAGTTGTACCATTCAGCTCCTTCTCACTCTTTGCCCCTATGTAGACTATGTCCCCTGAGTTCTTCATTCATTAGGCAATCACGCCATTTCAGCGTCACTTCCTCCATCAGTCCTCTGACCACTTGAGCAGAACAGGTCTCCTGCTTCTGTGTCCTATCAGACTTCTGGTTTCCCTTTGTGGTCTGTCATGCATCATGCTTGCTCATTCCTGTTGACTCAGGGCTGGCTCCTGTACTGGGCCACATCTGCTCAGGTCACATGAGGTTTCCTCATTGCCTCAGAGGTGAGAGCTGGCACGTGTGCTGGTCCGTAACGGCTGTGCGGATGGAATGCATGTGCACTTGGTATAGGTCATCCTTCCTGAGGTTAGACTATGAAATGCCATCTAGCCCCTGTTTGTCCCGGTTCCCTCCAGTGTCTTAGCCCCAAAACCAAGCAGAGGACAGCTATTTCTAATTAACCATTCATTGGCCTTGTGTGGCCAAGTGGCTTTGAGCCTCTGTGGTATTTATAATTATGGTGTTGGGAAGACTAGAGCAGCCTCACAGAGTCACTGTGAGGACTGGATGAGCTAATAATGTTAGTGTAGGACCTGAACAGAGGAAGCACCCAACACAAAGCACTTCACCAAAGGAAAGGCAGGGAGTTAGGATGGAATGGCCTCATGCAGTGAATGGGTGGTGTGCGCCATGTTTATTGTGCTATAGGGAGCTCAGAGCGCTGTAGGGGGTTCAGCCAGATTGGCTGGTGGGGTGGGGTGGGCTGTGGCTAGGCTCTGTGCTTCCAGCATATCCTGGTCTGGATCACCATTTCTGCTGGGGTTTGGCTCTCAGGAACTGCCCTTCTGTGTCTCCCCCAGGTACATGTACCCGTCAATGGACCAGCTGGCTGAAATGCTTCCTGGGGTCCTTCAACAGTTCGGGTAAGAGCAAGAGGCGCACTCCCCTATAGTTGGCACAGACAGGTGACTTCTGCCTCCTCGTATTTCTTGACCCTGACCAGGCCTGACCACTAAGGTGTAGGTTGGAGTTTAAAGATAGGGTAGACAGAGCTCATCGCCAAGTGTGTCCACTCTTCCTACCATCTCAACAGCCCGCTTTGCCTCTCTTGAGTGGTGACATCTCATAATGGCAGCACTCAACATTCTGTCCTTGCCCCCTGTTCCTCCACCCCTTCTCCTTCCTGTGGAATGTTCTGGAATAGGGTTGCCTGAGACCTTAGCTTCTCTCTCCAGGCTGTCATGTTGCCTGTGCAGAGCAAGGCTCCTGTCTTTCTCTCTTGAGCCTTTTGTAGGGTGATAAACCTCATGGTTCTGGTCCAAACTGCTTTCATTATAGGTTATAAAATCCAAAATAAAGCTTAGGCATGAGAAGAGGCAACGCCTTAATGGGCCTTCCTGTAATGTCAAGTGTTTCTCAGAGCCTTGGAAGTAACAGGAGGGAAACAGGGAAGGAGGCGAGTCTCTACAAGATCATAGCCTCTGTGGAGTCAAAAATCTCCATGCATTCCTGTCCTTAAGGACACATCTTGGCAGTGTGATCTGTACTGTCTAGCTTGTCAGCTGCCCTTATTGAGAATGAGAATAGAGCTTCCTTAGGGACAAGGAGGGGACAGTGTTGAGGAATGGGGAGACTTCATCACAGCTTCCTTTGGTGACACGAATCCTCACTTCTACTTTCAGGCTGAAGAGTGTCATCGGCATGGGCACAGGGGCAGGTGCCTACATCCTGACCAGATTTGCTGTAAGTTTTGATGTTTTTAAACATTACATTCATTATGGCAGCTTTGGGGCTTGAACTCAGAGCTTCACACTTGCTGGGTAGCCTCTGGACTCCTTGAGCAATGCCTCCAGTCCTAAAAAATTACATTTTAAATAAAATTGATCCAAGATTTAAGGAAGATGTTTGGAAATGCATCAAAAAACTCAAAAGGGGAAAAAGAAATGAGCCGCACTTCCACTTCCTGAGGGCATGTGTGGTGTAGGACTCAAGTGTACACACCAACAGCTTTGCTCTTCCCTTCACTCAGTATCACACTGGACTGTCCCTTGGCCAGGGCCTTGTTCACTGAGCAGTGTGTGGTGGGCAGCCTCCACACTGCTTTGTGATAGTTGCACGGGTATTTGTGATCCTGTATACTTGGATCCAAACTGATTCTAAACTAGAATCCCACACATGTGTAAATGTGACAATTGTCACTGTCATCACTGTGGACACATATCCTTGTTATCTTTATGGAACAATCATAAAATGGGGCTCATTCTATTCAGCCAGTGGTACTTTGATGCCTCCTCTGTGCCGCATTTTGCTGGAGGGGAGAGATGGGGAAGAAATACACAGTGGTCTTGACATCTCTGCTCTGAGCAGATGAGTGAAGGTCCCAGCTGCATCCTGGGCACCTAAGTACTTCCTAACAGTAGCAGAGTTGCAGAGACTGTTTCTGGCTGGCTTATGTGGTGGGTGGGATGTTGTACCCATTTGGCAGCTGGGGAAGCTGAGGTATAGTGTGGTAAGGGATTTGCCCAGGCTGGTCTGAGAGGCGTGTGTGCTTCCCTGCTCTCCACAGTTTCTTCTTTGCACTCTCTCAAGACCTGATGCAGTTTGGACTGAGTTGGAACCATAGTTTTGCACTGGCAGTTCTGGGGGCCGTTGATGTGCCCTGTTGAAGCCACCTGCTTCAGGGTCCCACAGTGGTCATTTTAAGGGTGCTTCTGTATGACATAAAATTCCTAGGATTTTCAGTTGCTTGGCCATCTTTCTCACCTCCTGTCTCTGTTTGCAGCTGAACAACCCTGAGATGGTGGAAGGCCTTGTGCTCATCAACGTGAACCCATGTGCAGAAGGCTGGATGGACTGGGCTGCCTCCAAGGTGAGGCTGGGAGCTGGAGGGAGGAGGGTCCCTGCATGCAGACAGACATGCTCACACAGCTCTGCCCTGAGGAGCTTCTGAACCTAGAAGACCCCTCTTAGCCCCACTCCTCCACTCTCCACCCCCAGTAACACTCCCAGTGAAGAGAGCAGCTTTTCTCTGCTTTGCTTAGACTAGCAAACACAGCTGCCATGAATTTCTATGCAGAAGGTTTAAATAGAACTGTGCTATCTCCTCCAGGGGCACCACTGGGAACCAGTCCCTGAGCCAGCTCCAAAAGCATTGGTAGGATTCCTAAGTGTTTGCTTGGTGCCTGTCCTATGCTGGGCCTTTCTCAAATTGCTGACTGTCTTGAACAAAATTTCTTGAAATGAACAAGACAAAAAAGGCCTCTTAGGAATCCACATGTTCTAGATGGAAAGTAAATGTGCATTTAGTGCTGGCCAGGTGCTCAAGTTCTCCATAGCAGTGAGCTAAGGGCTATGAAGAGCTAACTGCATGGTGGTTCCAGTCTGTTTCACTCTACCTTGCACAGTTCTCATGGCCTCCAGGAGGTGGGGATTCTTCTAGCCTTCGCATATAGGAGGAAACTGAGGCTCAGAGTGGTTACGAAGTCATCCAGGGTCACACAAAGTTAGGCAGCACAACTGGAATAGGACAAACATGACTTTGACTCTGGGCCATTGGCCTGACCCCTGTAGGAGATGGGCTGGGCTTGGCAGCAGGATGACCATGGGGTGAGGGGAGGGTCTGAGCTGCTCAGGGAGCTCCCCTGGCTGATGTAATAAGGTTCTTGGATTATCTTTTTTAAATGGTTAGGGCTTTTTTTGTGTTCATGTGTGTGTGTGTGTGTGTGTGTGTGTGTGTGTGTGTGTGTGTGTGTAAAGTCCTATGTTTGCCAAGAAGAGGGGTAAGCCATTGCAATTGGAATAGAATGAAGCTGTTTGGGCAGGTGGGCAGGTGTCTTGTTGAAAAAGTGTGTTTTCACTAGGTGTTGGGTGGCTCTGAGGATAGAGGGTGTGAGGGCTGTGCCTGTCCCCATTTCTGACCCTGATCTGGCTGCTCTGATGATGCATTTCTTCCTGGAGTATTACTCCAGAACTCAGGCACCCTGCCCTTCTGTCCACGTGACATTCGGGAGCCAGCCCTGTTTTTTATCTGATTTTCCAGCAAAGGAAGTGACATTCCAATCAGCCCCTTTGGCCCCTGGACAGCTGTTCTGAGCCAGGCGTGAAGGGCTGGGGACACTAATACTGGCTGGAGTGGAGCCTGAGCAGCCCTGGGGTTTTAACAACTGTACCACAGGCTGTCCAGGTGCAGCCTTGGAGAAAACCGAGCTGAAGCAGTGGGCCACTGTGACACCACATGGTTGTCAGAGACTGTGAAGCCTCTCATGATCCTCACTGTGGCTGGAAACTCTGATGTTCTTGGCACCCTCCAGTTACAGATGTGAGGTTTGAGGTCCAGAGGTGTCAGCCTGCCTAGTGCTACACAGCACTAGTGGCTGTCAGCAGTCAGCCCAAGACCTCAGGGCAAGAACTTCTCTCCCACCAGTCTCTACTGATGCCCAGTTGGTCAGAACACATTTATGGAGTTTCTGTTGTATGCCTGGCAGTTTGGATCTCTTGCCATGTACCTACAGTTATGGAGCACCAATTGTATACTAGTATTTATGGAGCTCTTATTATACACATAACCTCGTTTTGGGGGAGAGAGGAAGAAAAGAGGTCATTAGTGAACTTAGTAGCCTCAGTCAGTTCACAGAAGGGCTGGGAGAGAAAGCTAGTGGATGGTGCAGAAGGGACAGCCAGGCCTGAGCAGATCCTGGGGTGGGTATGGGGGCTCAGTGTGTGTGTGTGTGTGTGTGTGTGTGTGCTGAGGACTTGGTGAGTCTTTGGTAGGCTGAGCAAGGTTCTGATTCAGTCCCCACCTGCTGTCTACCTCCTGTGTATAGGTTCTGAGATAAAGAACTAGAAGGAGACCTAGGCCGAGCCTGCCAGTGCTGCAGGTCTAGTAAGGGACTAGGGGCAGAAGCTGAGATCCCATGGGATTAAAAAAAGAAAAGCTCTCTTAGACAGCTTTCCAGCACTATAACCAGTACCTGAGACAATAGACTTTTAAAGAGAAAAAGGTTTATATTGGCTCCAAGTTTTGGAGGTTTCAGTTGATGGTCCCACGGTAAGGCAGCATATTATGGTGGGAGTGTATGGCAGAGCAGAGCTGCTTGTATCACAGCCAAAAAGCAGAAAATAAAGGGAAGGAGAGGCCAGGCTCCCACAATTCCCTTCAGAGCATACCCCCAATGACCTGAAGACCTCCCACCAGGCCCGGCCTCTTAAAGGTCTCACCACATCCCAATAGTACTTGCTAGGGACCAAGCCTCTAACACAAGAGCCTTTGGAGGACATTGCAAATTTATGGTGTAGCAGGGGGTGGCTGAAGACCTGGGTGCTGGGGGAGCTTGCAGTGCCACTCTGCCCCCAGGGCTAAGGGCTTTGCTGACCTTGTCTCAATACCATGATGGCCTGGTTTCTAATCCACCTGCTTTCATCCTCTGCAGATCTCTGGATGGACCCAGGCCCTGCCAGATATGGTGGTGTCCCACCTCTTTGGGAAGGTGAGTGACACAGCCCAGTGTCCTGCTATTTCTACTGAGTAGTTAGCTGTGTGTGCTAAGCACCAGGGTGGGTGGTGACAAACAAGACACAGTCAAGAGGGCCCTGGGTAGCTGCCTGGGAAATAGTGTGATTTACTGAGCCATGATCAGTAAGCCATTCATTCTCTGTCTTTCTAAACATAGATCTTTCTAGAACATCTTTCTCAAAGAACAATATGCTGCACATATTTTGACAACACTTGACGTAAGATTTCCATCACTTCCAAAATTTTTCTTGTGCCCTTTGGTAACTCCCCACCTTTTCCTTGCCAGATCCCTTCTGCTTTGCCTTTTGTCTCTATAGACCAGGTCGTGATGCTTGGATGTCTCTGTAATGGACACCATGCCATGTGCACCCTCTTTTTTGGCCTGGCTTCTCACACTCTGTGTGACTACTTTGTGATTTTCCCGTGTCACTGGCTGCTGTCAATGGTGCCTTCCATTTTGATGCTCAGTAGTGTCCCATTGGATGGGTGGCCATGCTTGATTTCTGTTCACTTAGTTATGGATACCAAGTGAACTGGGCTTTGCCCGGTTTAGGTTATTACGAATGAATTCCACACCTCATGGAGTTAACTGTGTGCTGGGCTCTGTCAAGTAGAGCTTGGAGCTTAGGAGCACTGTGTCCTGTGAGATGAACACTGTTTTTGGGATGAGGAAATTGAGACAAGACAACTTAAGTGATGAGGGTAAGGTCTCACAGTCAGGGAGATGGGTGGTGGGGATTTATTTGAACCTATGTGTCTGATTCCAGAATCTAGCACAGTAAGGCACTGGTGTCCCGTGCCTCTGATCCTACCTGGCTCTTAAATGGGCTGCTTCTGTGCAGAGTCACCCCATAGTGGGTGGGCAGAACTGGTCCCCTGGGCAGTGTGAGATTGACCAGGCCTGATTTCTCCAGCCTTAGTCAGGGATCGCAGCCAGGGAAAGGATGTGCTGTGGGCTCTGATTCAAGTCCAAGGTCTATAAAACCTCTCAGTTGCCCAGACTCAGGTGACCTGCTTTTACTGTGAGCTGCTTTCATACATCTGTCAGCCCCTGAGCTGACGAGCACGACTCCTGTACCCTCCTGAGTCTCAGGGCAACAGAAGATGCCCCACTTTGGAGTTGGTGAGGGGAAGCCCCTGAGTTTGGTCATTGTATTAGCTCTTACTGTGGCATCCATGAAAAGCTGCTGGAACCAAATGGCTTAGAAGGGAAAAACTTATCTCTCACAGTTCCAGAGCCCAGTCACTAAACTGAAGTGTGGGACAGGACTGTATGACCTTCACGGGCTCTGCGGTCCCTACTTCCCCAGCTTCTGGAAGCTGCCAACTTTCCCTGGCTAATGGCTGCATACTCTGATCTCCATCTCTGTCTTCACGTGGTTTTCCTCTGTGTCTGGTCCAATCTCCCTCTTGTTTTTCTCCTGGGGACACTTGACACTGTATTTAGGGTCCAGTGGGATATGGCAGGATTGTGTCTCACAATCCTTCATTGATCACATCTGCAAAGATTCTTTTCCCCAAGGAGTTTGCATCCACAGGTCCGGGGTCTTCTGGAGGCCACGGCAGTCCACTTGCTCCTGTGGCTTATTTCAGCTTGTGATGCATTTTCTCTGCCCTGAGTAATGGATAGGAATTTGTCAACAGTCAGAAGCAGCGTCTCTGTTTCCCTGAAGAAGAGGGGTCGGGGATGGTGTTAAGGCCACCTGACTGTACTCAAGTCACTTGGAAGCTAGTGGTCAGGCTGTGGTACCATCTGGTGCCCCCAAGTTGGTGCAATTGCATTTTGATCAGAAATCCCTGTGTTGTTCTTCAGTCTACTTTTTCCTAGTTTTTATTTGAATAGATGGTGAGGCTCCATACTGCCTAAGTGATTATGGCCTGGAATATGGGTATTGTTCATTTTTGGTTTAGTTTTGAGACCAGTTCTCTTCGTGTGTCTCAGGTTGACCTGGAACTTGCAACTCTCCTGCCACAGCCTTCCAAGTACCAACATTACAGGCATGCACCACTGTACCTGGCTTGGTTGTGGACTATTTTGACACAATTCAAACTTGACATTGGCTCTTGCTTCCCATGTCCCTGATCTGGTTGACCCTGGTCCCATCAGACCCATTTGTGAAAATGACAACACCTACTGCTATATAAACAAAGGCCAAAGCACACCCTTACTCCCTCAGAAAACCCCGAAAAAAAGGAAGACTGGCTGACTTCTGCAGGCTCCAGTGGCCTCTCTGGGGCTTGAGAATGACCTTCTTTCCAGTAACATCTTATTGCATGAGTTGATTCAGGTTTTCAAGCTTGAAAACTTATTTTCAGCTCTGTCCATTAAGATATAAGTGCTATGCTGTGCACACTGGTGAAGGCCTTTGATGCTACTCACCAAGCAGAGGTAGGAGGATCATTGTCTGAGGTCAGCCTGGGCAAAAGCACAGAACCAATCTGAAAAATAAACTGAAAAAGCAAAAGGGTCAAGGGTGTGACTTAAATTATAGAGCACGCACTTAGTAATCATGAGGTCCTGAGTTCAATCCCCCCAAAGGAAGAAATAATTGTTGTCATTGGTATCTGATGTCAACTGTTTGCCAAAGGTTTTATGTGCACCCCACTGTCAACTCCTGTGTTCTGGGAAAATAGGTGACATCACCTGAGGGAACTGAGGCTGGGAGAGGTGAGAAGATTCACCCGAGACAGGGGCAATGGTCGGGCTGAGCTCTGTCCAGAAGGAATGACTTCGGACCAGGATCCCCACTTAAGGATCTAGAAGGGCTTGCCTTCTGGGTGTGGGCTGCTTCTTGCCCCCAGCTGACAGCCACACAATACAGATACCAGTCTGCATTCCAAGCTCTCCTCAGGCCCCACAGCTGCCTTGTGCATTTGACATCATGGCCTTTTCTTTGTGCCTGACTTGCCTGGGGAGCGGAGAGAGCAGTGAGCAGCCCCAGTCACACAGTGAAGGCCACTTCCCCGCCTCTTCCTGCAGGAGGAAATGCACAGTAACGTGGAGGTGGTGCACACCTACCGCCAGCACATCGTCAACGACATGAACCCAAGCAACCTGCACTTGTTCATCAGCGCCTACAACAGGTACGGGGTGCAGGGTGGGTCCAGTCCTGCAGGTCACGAGTGGGAGGTGGGGAGAAGGATGAATCCCTAGAACTGGAGCAGACAGGGTGAAGGTCAGAGGGCCTGAAGAGCACACCTGCTGTAGAAGGTGCCTGGTATTCTGTGGCCTTTGTGAGGATGGGATCGCTACCCCAAGCCACATGGGCCAGATGAGAACTCCTAAGAAAGGCTACCCAAAACAAAGCTGGGAGACCGAGAGCAAAGCACTGTGGGAGGTGGTGGAATCCTGGTGATGCTGTCAGATGGGGGCTCTGGCCAGGACAGGGATGGCAGTGACACTCTAAAGTGAGTACATGCTTTGTACTCCTATAAAAAGCATAACACATTTGGGACAAAATGAGGTAGGCACTGCTGGAAATGCAGGAGTCTTGCTGGTCCCTTAACCACTTCTACAGACACCATGTGACCTCACACAGACCAGGTTTGCAGGTGGTCTTCTAGAATGGCTAAGGGTGGAGTCCAGGCTCAGCACAGGGGAAGAGGGGCCTCTCTGGGGTGTGTCTGCCCGTGTTAATGATGTATTTGTTGCCCGTAGCCGGCGGGATCTGGAGATTGAGCGGCCGATGCCGGGAACCCACACTGTCACCCTGCAGTAAGTCACTTTTCTCTCCAAGCTTGTGGCTGCAGCGGCACCCTCCCCCCCCACACACACACACCTGTCTGTTTCACTTGTTCCCAGCTGCTGGCAACAACTGGGAAGCCAGTTGCTGGGTCTGGCAGCCCTGCCACCCTTGGGGAGGGATGCTATAGACCGAGAAAGCTGTATGTGTTCCACCTGGGACTGAGTCAGTCCCTGTCTGACCCAGGGTTCTCCCTGTACAGCTGGCATCAGTCCACAGGATGAGCCCTTGACCAAGACTGGAGCCCCTGATGTCAGAGGAGGAAGGCTGACTGTTCCCCTGCCCCTCATTAAAAGCATCTGCTATGTCAAGAACTAAGCTGAGCTTTGCTTCACCACACCTAGAAATAAGTCCTGTATTGTTTCCTTTATCACTCATGCCATTCCTTGTCTCCATCTTGATTACTGACAAAACCCTGCTTTTCCTTCCATCAGGAGATGACACTTTAAAATAAAAACAAATCAGGGTGCAGAAATTGACCAAAATTTATACTAAGGTATAAATGACTACCAACCCATTTTATCCTAAGAGCAGAGCATAGGATGGTGTACTGTGATATAAAAGGAGCAAAGAGAAAGGAAAAACGGTTTTTAAAATCTTGGTCCAGTCTGGCAAGCCTAGGAGTGTGAAACCCTTCAAATGAACCCTGTGTTGACTCCTCCTCTCTCCCTCATCCAGGTGCCCTGCCCTGCTGGTGGTTGGGGACAACTCTCCTGCTGTGGATGCTGTGGTAAGTGGAGCCCAACCACAGTCCAAGTCTGGTGGCACTGTGTGTCATCTCCCCGCCCACCAACCCCTCACACCAGTGCATGGGATCCCCTCTAAATGTCATATTGGCCTTTGGGTGGAGCCCAGCCCTGGCCTCTCTCCTAGTGGTTGCTGTCCTGGCCCTGGCTGCCTGGCCATCTGTCCCCACCTCAGGTCCCTCCCCCTGCTGCCCTGCTCCCTATGGCGACCCTACAAATATGGGCTGCTTAATGCCTGGCTTCCTGGCCAGTGACTCTCCTTGCACTGGGCACCAGGTGCTCTTTCCAACTGGATTGGTGCCTGGCCCCCTGGCAGAGAAGGGAGGCACTTGGGAAGCCAGGCTTGGGCAGAGCTTTCTGGCTTACTTCACCCTCAATTTTCACCTGCAATACTGAGGAGTCAGAGAGGACTACCTTTCTGATGCCCCCACATCTGGGGGAGGTGAGACACTTAGGAACTATTGGTCAGAGTCCTAGACTGATAATATGTCTTAGGCAGGTGGACTACAGAGCTTAATTTACAGATGGTCATATAGTAAAGGCATATGGTGTCGTGGTGACCATGAAATGATCACAGGATGCATCAAGAGAGATATATCATTCCCCAAAAGGGAGGAGATAGTTCTGCTTTGTGCATTTTGAGCATCACAGGTTACATGTGGACATTCTGTTTCATTCTGGATGCTATTGGTAACAGGGCCACTAACAAAATGAAGACAGAACCAGCTTGGTGGATGTGGTTTAATATGTAGAATGACTGTCAGAACTGGGCTTGTTAAACCTGTGGATCTCTGGCAGCAGCTGGTTAAGCACAGCCTCCCTTTGCCAGATGCTCTGGAGGTAGTCTTCTAACAGTCATTCCAAAAACACATCATCCCACTTTATTGATGGGGAAAATGAGGCTTAAAGAAGTTAAGTAAACCTGTGCAAGAACACACAGCTATCACTGGGATCAAAAGCCACATCTTTTTAACCTCGAGGCCCATGTCCTTTCTTCCTTGCTCCAAGGAACCTCAGGGCTTCTGATAGTCATGCAGAGTGGTGGGGAAGGGGGCGCAGATCGTGACTGGCTGCAGGTAACCAACTGAGTTCTCCTCCCTGTCCAGGTGGAGTGTAACTCCAAGCTGGACCCCACGAAGACCACCCTACTCAAGGTACGGGGGAGACAGCAGGGTCTGCATTTGTGATTTCTAAGAAATTCTCAAGCATTCTGAAAAATTGAGTAGCACTTGATTGAAGCAATGCTGTGGTCAAAGCCACAGAAGCAAGGAGTGAGAGCTGGGCGTGCGGCCAGGTCTGCAATCCCAGCACACACTCGGGAAGCCAATGCACAAAGGTGGCGGGTTCAAGGCCAACCAGGGCACATAGTGAGACCCTGTCTCAAAAATGAAAGAAAGAAGAATTTACTGTCTGTATTTACAAATGTCTGTTGGTTGCTGGTGGGCTAGCTGAGGCTGCAAAGATGAGCATGTTTTCCTCTGGGACACAAGAGTCTAGGTGCTGCCAGCCATGTGGCTTCAGGGAGAAATGGATCAGAAGTGACTGGGCCAGGATGCCCCTAGGTGTGTTCTGCCTGTGCAGCAGACAGACACAGCTGCTGAGGCCAGGCCAGGCTAGGCTTTCTCTAGCAAGGTCCCAGGGTATATGGCGTACACACTCTTGCAGCTGGACTTAGGGGTCTATAGCAGCCCCATCCTGTGCACCCAATCACAACTGAGACCCACTGTTGAGAGGGCAGCCAGATCTGAGGACATGGCACAACAGCGGAATCCTCTCCAGGGCCTCCCCAGCCCAGGTGTCCTGGAAAGGGAGGTGACCAGGAGGGACCTGTGTGGCAGAAGGTAGCTCCCTGTAAGGGGTGGGACAGGGAGGCAGCTGCTGTGGGTCCTGCTACCCCACTCTTTCGAAGTGAGTGCCTTTGTGAAGTGCCTCTTGTTGACAAGGACAAGCCCTGCCAGGGCACTTAACATTCAATTTCCCAAAGGAAATTATGAGACTGGAGGTCCCCAGGCTCCAGGCCTTTATAATGATGCCCTTTGGGGTCTCCTGTGACAGAGTTCCACAGTCTGGGTAGCTAAAGATGACTGAAATTCCCACCCTTAGTATGTGGGCCCAAGTATGCTCTGCCTGCAGGCTCTGAAAGGTCCTTGCCTGTCAACCTCTGTTGTCACCAACAGGCAGGCCTCTGTGCTCTTTGGCATGTGGGCCTGTCACTCAGATAGCAGTCTCTGCCTTCACATGGTTTCTCTCTGTGGGTCTTTGGGTCTGAGCTGTATTGTTCTTTTCTTGTATGGACATCAGTCAGTAGGTTCAGGTTCCACCCTGATCCAGTGTGGCGGCATCTTACCTTGCGCACAGCCACAATGACTGTATTTCCAAATCAGGTCACATTTGAGGTAGGAACCTCAGTGAATCTTTTAGGGGAGGTGGAGTTCAACTACAAAGCAAGGGAAGTGAGCCAGGTAGCTATTTGATAGTAGGTTTTGGATCAGAACCCACAGTCAGGCCAGCTCTAGTAAGTAACCCAGTCCGTGGGGTGTCACCTGCGTTCTCATTGGGCCAACGCTACTACCCAGGTCAGCATGGTTTTGTAGCTAGGACTTGGGATGTGGCCTTGAGGTGACCACAGATTTAGCCACTCTCACTGCTCCTGCCAGGCCTGTTTCTCTTGGCCCCCCACCTTCCCTCACCATCCTGGTTCCCGAGTGCCCCCCAACCCAGCTCAGCCCCATTCAGGATGAATGTCCACACTGCCTGGAGCAGTCCTGGTGATTTGGCAGTGGCCTGAACTCTGAAAGTCACAGTATTTGACAAGGGCAGCCAATCTGGAGCCCTCGAGGCTAGAAACCTTCAATCTAGCAGCCTCCTTTTGAGGAAAGAGGCTCATGCATTGGAACCCGGTCAGGTCAGATGGGTCCTGGCAGGAATCTTGCAAGTCCCTTGAGCTCTCTTTGGCTCACTCCAAAATAGGACTATTGTACTTTCCATGCTCTTAGGGCTGGAGTGCAATGATCTGTAGAGCCTGGCATCTAAGTGTGGTTGCCAAGGAGACAGTCTGATGCTGAGAGGATAGGAACCAATCAGCAGCACCCTTGTCAGGTGGAGGTGGGGTGCACCCACCTGTGATCCACCTTCCACAAGGTAGCAGGCAGGTAGGCGCCTGTGTGAACCCGGTTCACAGAGTGTGTATTGCCTTGGTGGTGACTGGCACTAACAACTTCCCTCCCTTCTAGATGGCAGATTGTGGCGGCCTCCCGCAGATCTCCCAGGTGAGTGCCCCGATGGCTTTTGTATATAACACCTGTCACTTCCTTCCAGTGGATATGCCTCTGTGACCTGTTAATACTTTAACCTTAGCACCTCTCTGTGATGTCAGCTGATAGTTTGAGGAGAGTTACTGCTTATAAAATGTGTGTGCACGTGGGGCTCACTTGTTGTCCCTGTGGGGCAGATGGCACTGGAGTTCACAGACCTAAGCAGTCACAGCGTGACCACAGTGTGTCAGATTTTTGGTGTGCCTGCCCTGGCCAGGGGCCCTGGGAACTTAAGCCCATAGTGGAGAAACATAAAGGATATGAAACCTAATTGTGTGTGTTTGTGCTTTTTTCTACATTCTCTTCACTTTCTATCAGGATAATCTTGTATTCTATCTTAAAAATGAAATATTACACAAATCTCTTCTGTCTTCTTTCTCCAAATGCTGGCTTGCCTCCTACTTCTTTTCTCTATTTAAAATAAAGCAGACCCAACCATTGCCAGTACTGACGGAAGCTGTTTTTAAACGCCATGGTGGGAGATGGGCTGGGACCAGCTTCCAGAACACCAGCCCAGTGAGGCCCAATTCCTATGTGACTTCTACCTCCCCCTTCAGGCCAGGTGAGGGTTTATAAAGTCCTTCCCCATCCTTGATCAAATTGGATCCTTGAAGTAGTTCTCAGAGGAGGAAGAATGAGCATTTTATTCCAATGTCACAGAAGAGGACACTGAGGCTGAAGGATGAGAGACATTGTCCGTGGTCCCCCAGTGAGGCCAGCAGGTGTTCTCAGTGCCAAGTCTACCCATCCTGAACACAGCTGTCCCTTCTCTTCCACCCTGACCTGCACACTTGTCTCTTTTTTCCATTGTCACACAAATCCCAAAGGGCAATTTTTGCATAGCCAAAAATTGGCAGGAGTTGTTGATGTGGGGTGAGACACACTGCCTCTGCCAGGGGCTTCTCACTGCTGGGGAGAATGAGAGACAGAACACTGGATTTGAGGGTCTCCTGACTCCATGCAACTCCTAGTGTAGACAGAATTGATCGCTTGAGAGGAAATGGGGTGACTTTCTTCCGTTCACTTCTTTTTCATCACCTTTCTCTTCTTCCTTTCTTCTGCTCTCTTATCTGTTCCTTTTTATTCATCTGTCTATGCATAGGCCCTTCCTTCCCTCTTCTTTTCTTTTCATCCATCTGTTTCTCCATCTTTCTTTCTCCCCTTTCATCCTTCTTTCTGTCCGTCATTGGGGCTGGCGGTGAACTGCCTTGAGAACATGGGTTCTGGCTTGGAAGTCCCCAGCTCACCTGGAGGACCTGCCACTCATTGGTTACTGAGTAGATTATCACCTCACCACGTCTGCTCAGCTATGTTACGTGTATCCAGTAGCGGTGACCTTGTAAGGTACATGTCAGGATCAAAGGCCATGATGCAGCAGAGCCCTCAGCACACCGAGCAGCCCCGTGATCCCCATGCAATTCTGTGCCAGATGCTGCCCAGGGTATACTGTCTACTGTCATCCCTGCATGCACTCAGCAGGAAGTACAGTGCTCAGTGCTGTATTACACGGGAGGAATGGAACCTGGCTCGTACAAGTCCTTTAATTTGTCCACCTGGCTACAGCTATGAAGCAAATTTGAGTTCTTTCTCCCTAGACAAAGCTAATTTCTTCCCCACAATTAGCCCATAGTATTTCTTTTGCTTTTGTGTTTTGTCTTGACAACTTGATGGCCCCTGCCTTTGGCCAAGATCTCTCAGAGGAAAAGGTGGCCCCCAGCCTCCAACCATACTTCTCTCTTTCTCTCTTGCAGCCGGCCAAGCTCGCCGAGGCCTTCAAGTACTTTGTGCAGGGCATGGGATACAGTAAGTATGGAATTCCTCCTCCTTGGGAAAAGTGTGGGAGAGGAAGTGTCACACACTGGCCAAGTTTGAATGAGACTCCCCTATCACCAAGGCCAGAGATAGCCTTTTGGACATTGGGCAGGGCCGAGAAGGAGATATTTACAGTTGTTTGTGGCTGAACAAAGGAAACCATCTGAGAAATGCATCAGTAGTCAATTCTGTCATTGTGTCAACGCTGACAGTACACTGACTTACTGTGTACGAAGATGGCTGAGACATCACCAAGCAGTGGACTCTTACGGGACCACTGCCTTATATGTCGGTTGGTCGTTAACCATGACGTCCATCTGCAGCATTCGAGTATAAGTGGTTTGAACAGAAGTTGCTTCATACAGGGAATTTATTTAGGTGTAGGTAAGAACTGTCCCTTTAAGCACTAAAAGATGACAAACAGAAACAATGAATGTTTTTAATTTTGCTCAGATGCTTTCTTAAGAGACCACTAATTGTAGTGATGATGACGATGATGGAGCGATGCGAGATTAGTCGTAAATCCTATGTTTTTTCTCATTCAACCATCACAATAATCCTACAAGATACTCTAAGCTCAGTTTTCAGAAGAGGAAACTGAGGCTGGGAGGTGTTGAGCAAGCAGCAGAGGGATGATCTGTGGATGTTTGTGGAAACCACAGTCTTGTGTACATGGATGATGAAGTGGCTTAGATTCAAGACAAGCGAGTGTGTCTTTGCTACATCATTAGATTTGGAAACTGAAGACACAAAGAAGCATGCTTTGAGAACTTGCTACTTCTCACTTTATAGCTACAGTTAATTTGTAAGTCAGACACATGCAGTCCTTTTTTCAGAAACACCAGGCCATGCCTAGGACACACACTAGCCAGTTGAAACCCTCAGCTGAGTACTGACCCTGGCCGGTACAGGTTGGCACATGAGCCATGGTTCTGGTTGGACATGGACCGCTCATCTTTTCTTGCCTACTGATCGGAATGACAATCTCTTATCCAGGAAGACTTTGAACTTCCAATCTCTTGTCTTCTTCCATAAACTATTTTCCTGTTTAAAAGAGAAGCAGTGTACTGGGTGGACCAATGCTGTCTTAAGATTGGCCTCCACCATGTTTGGTTTCTGGCAAGGCAGAGAGTGAGGGAGCCTGAATTATGTGCTTCAGATAGATTCATGTCCCCAGGTGTCCCCATCCAACAGAGAAAATTTTCCTGTGGCTCTCCTGCCTGTCAGTCTGCTTTCCCTATGGGGACTGAGCAAGCAGAGGTGGAAGATGGAGGGAGCCATTTCCCTTGTTTGTCTGGCAGGACATGCCTCAGGCATGTTGGACCTGCTCTGGATTGGATTTCTGTTTCAGTAGTGTATTCTGGGGAAAAGGGAGGCAAGAGCTAGGCCTTCTTTCTTTCCAATTACTTTCTGTTTCAACTTTGTTGGCCAATTCAGCTTTGCTAGCCAAAGCATCCCTTAGGACTTGGGGACAATAGTAGGATGAGTTACATCCCCAAAACATTGCCCAAAGAGGAGGAACATAACTATTCATTGAGTGACCAGCATGACTAGTCCTTTGCATACCTGGACAGTCACCACAGCCCTGGGAGGTCAGCAAGACTCCCGGGTTTAAGTGGAGAGATAGAGGATCAGGGAAAACCCGAGCCACAGCACAGCTCTGTGACAACCTTGATTCTTTCTAGATTCACAACTGGTTCTTCAGGGAGGGAATTCAGTACAGTGAGGATTAATTCCATTTGTGTATCTGTTGTAGTGTTTGTCACTGTGCCTATGAAGTAACCACAGTAGCCCCTCAGTGCATGTGTCCTTATCAGCTGCTTGGATGTCCCATGTTCAGTCTTTAGTGTAACCTTCCTAGAAATGCTTCAGCTGGGTGGAGTGTTCGTCTCACAGGGCCGCCATGACAAATTCCCACAAACTGGGTTGCTTTGAAAACAGAAATGTGTTCTCTCACAGTGTTGGAGGCTGAAGTCTGAAGTGAGTGTCAAGAGGGCCAGGTCACTGCAAAAGCACTAGGGAAGAACAGTTCCCTGTGTTTGTCTGGCTTCTGTTGACTATAGCCATCCTAGCCACTTGTCACTCCAGGCTCCTCCTGTGTCAGTCACTGTTTTCTCTTCTTATTAAGGACACTAGCCACTGGATTAGGCTCACCCTAATCCAGAATGACCTCATCTTAACTAATTATCTCTGCAAAGATCCTGATTCCAAACAAGGTCATATTCTGAGATTCCAGATGGACGTGGATTGGGGGGACACTATACAGTCCAGGACAGGTTGGTGAGGACTTGTTTGATTGTCATTCTACTCTGCCAGCCTCTGCTGTAGAGGGCATGCCTTCCAGAATGAGGAAGGTCTCAAAGTGGGTCACACCTTTGCCAGTACCTGGGAGCTGTCTGGCTTTTGAGGGAGAAGACGGATTGCTAAAACCAGTGCTGGGAACTTGCCCTGTGACTTTGGTGCCCCACCGGGGACTTGCAGGGCTCAGCCCAGCTAGCCTCCAGTGTAGTCCCTGCTCCACTGACTGCTGATTGTATAGGGCACTGGACACACACATAGGAGCTGATATTTGGGGTTACATTCTTGTCCCCACAGATGAGGACAAAAAGACTAAGAGACCCTCCCACAGTCACACAGCTGTTAAGCAAGTTGAAGAATTAAGATTCAGACACAGATCAGGGTTCAGGTCACTTGCTATGTGATTACCACAAGTTCTTTCTTTGTCTGGGCCTTGTGGTCCCTTTCTTGAGTGGACACAAAGACACAGTGAGAAACTGTGGCTGGACTGCTACAAGGATGAAGATGTGATGGACCAGGGTCAGATCACAGGAGGGAATCAAGACTGGTGGGCAAGTGTGTCTGTTCCTTCATTTGTATAGATCTCTGATCCCCTAACAGGCTGTCTTCTGTTTCCACAGTGCCCTCTGCCAGCATGACCCGTCTGATGCGGTCCCGTACAGCCTCTGGCTCCAGTGTCACCTCCCTGGAGGGTTCCCGCAGCCGCTCCCACACTGGCGAGGGTGCCCGCAGTCGCTCGCACACGAGTGAGGGCCCTCGCAGCCGTTCTCACACCAGCGAGGGAGCCCACCTTGACATCACCCCCAACTCGGGTGCCACCGGGAACAACGCTGGGCCCAAGTCCATGGAGGTGTCCTGCTAGGCAGCCTGTGTGCCTGCTGCCCCAGACTCTCATCTCTGTAGCTGCCCCCCTCGGCCCTCCTCTCCCCTGCCTGCCACCCTGCGCTAATGCGGTATTAATCCAAAGCTTATTTTGTAAGAGTGAGCTCTGGCCATGACAGATCGGGTCTGTCCAGGGCACCGTCTTGGGCAAGGGCTGGGAGGAGGTGGACCAAAGGAAAGTGGCAGCTCAGTGTCCTGTTTCCATTAACTAGTGGCCTAGTGGCCACTCTCTCATCTGCCCTCAGAGACACCAAACTGCCAAAAACAAGACAAATATAGCAGTAAACACTTCGCAGCTAGCAGACCAGGCTGTCCTAAGCATCCTGGTTCACAGGCATTTTGCCAAGCCACCTACTTCCTGTTTCCTGTCCAACCAAAGCCACACTGGCTCTTTCCTGGAAACAAAACTGTTCCTGATTTGGGGAGGAGGGGCCCTAAACTGTGGGTAACTGTTGTTAAGTAGCCAAAACAGGAAGGGAAAAAAGAGGTGAAACTTAGGTAGAGGCTACAGGCATTTGGAAAACCAAGTCCATATGGTTCCCTTGAAGAAATCAATTTTTTGAACTTGGTGCATCTATTACCTTCTGAGGTCAAAGTATACCAGCCTCTGTTTCTGGCATGCTTTTTATATACAGTGAAGCAGGCAGCAAACGCTGCTGGCTTTATAGAGATGCCCTTTCAGCAAGTGTTTGGTGTCATTGTGATTTGTCTGCCTCCTCCATAGCCCCTGCCTCCCACCCCACATTCGCGAGTGAGGGGTTCTTTTTGCTTGTGGGGAAGATGGTGAGATTTGTAGTTGCATCCTTTGAAATGGAGGAGACACTTACAACAGTGTCCCTGGCTGTTAGGATTCTCATGGGGGGGGTACCAGGGTGGGTGTGGGACACAGTGACTAGCGTAAGTGACTTTGTGTGGCTCTACTGGAATCCAGTGCCTGTGATTTCAGTGGATCGCAGCCTATTTCTTGGAAGTCCTGTGTGATTGAGTTCAACCCAGTCTGTTGACACTGGGGTTGACCCTGACCTTGACAGCTGGATTCCTCCAACCCAGGGCCATTGCTCAGGCTTCAGATTGGGCTTTTGCTCTCATGGGGGTGGGAATTCATGTGGGGAGTGGGCTGAGAAAAATATAGGGTTCTGGAATCTATACTGCATGGAAACTTCCTTCCTCTCTAGCTGTCCCCTCTCCCCATGCCCTAACCTCCTTCTGCTGAACGGGGCGGCACCACTGACACTTCTGAGCAATGTCAGCCTAGTGTCGAGTTCCTGTACTACTGCCTTTTGGTTTTCATTGTGGCTAACCATGAATTTTCTTATAGGAAGTTTGATCAGAGGAAATCGAACTTGGCAAATCAGCTGCCAGGGCTTGATGAGTTCCAGGACCCTAGCGTTGGTAGAAGGAAGTAGTCATGCCTTCTAGGTGGCATGACTTTGAGAGGCAGTGACTCAGTTTACCTGCCTACTACCATCTTGAGGGCTTTCCTTGATCTTGTGCAGAAAGATTGAGGATCCAGGCAAGAGTGGCTGAGTGCAGACCAGAAATTATTGTACAGAGGAGTTTCTTAATGAGATATTTGTATTTATTTCCAGACCAATAAATTTGTAACTTTGCAGTAGCTTGTGTCTTTTTCCTCTCCCTGAGAGACTGTGTGTGACATTAAGGTGCTGGAAGGGTAGAACGGGAAGGGTAGAGGGTCACTCAGCCTTAACACCCCAGCACTGTGCCCGGTGCCTCCCACTGCTGAATTCTTTGCTTTACAGCAATACTATCTGGTAGGAATTTAACTATCATCCACATATGTCACTAAATTTTCAGGTAGCCACATCTAAAAAAATGCAAAGAAACAGATGAAATTAATTTTAATACTGCATTTCATTTAGTTCAATATATATATATTACCATTTCTATAAAAACAATTAATCATTTACATCCTTTTTTCCATACTAAAAATATCCAGATCTCACAGCACATCTCAAGTCAATCCTGTCCTGTGTCCAGCACCCATTACCAGTACAGTGGTAAAAGCCTAAAGCTGTCTCACCTAAAATTAGAGGGAAGCAACCCCCCCCTTTTTTTTACTTTTATTTCAGGACAGTGTGGCAATCGTAACACTGTGATGCTTACTTTTTGCTGTAACACTTGAAAAGAAAGTTGTTAACAGGTTTTCATATAAGCTCACATTTTATTAAAACATGTTTTGTTTAAGATCAAGTTAAAGTGGGAGCCAATGACTCATCCCTGCAATCTTAACTGCTTGGAAAGTTGAGATTGGGAAGATCAAAGTTTTAGGCCAGCCCAGGCCAGGCAAATAGTTCAAGACCCCATCTCAAAACTAACCAAAGCAAAATGGACTGCAGATGTGGCTCAAACAGTAGAGTGCCTGCTTTGCAAACACAAAGCTCTGAGCTCAAACCTCAGTCCCCACTATCCTTCCCCTCCAAAAAAGATCAGCTTAAAATTTACACAATTGCAATGTAGGTTGGTTTTCCACTACTGTAACAAAAAACCTGAGGGAAGCAACTTAAAAGAGGAAAAATTTATTTTGGTTTAGTTTCAGAGGGTCCAGTCAAAGGTCAGTTGGCTTCATTGCAAGGAACCTGAGGTGAGGCAGAACATCGTGGCAGCAGAAGTGTGTGGCAGAGGAACTACTCACATGATGGTGGCCAGGAAGCAGAGACAGAGACAGGGGAAGAGACTAGGGATAAGACATACCTTTGAAACCGTGGTCCCAGCAGCCCACTTCCTCTAATCAGGCCCTAGCTTCCACAATTTCCTTCACCTCCCCAAAGTCCATTCAACTATGAATCCATCAGTGGACTAATCCATTGATTAGGTCAGAGCCCTCTTGACCCGATAGTTTCCCAGAAACCCCACTGAGCGTTGCACTGGGAACAAAGCCGCCAACATGTGAGTTTTTGGGGGGACACTTAATCTCCAGACAGCACAATGGCAGCATAGAGTGTGTCCATGCGCCTTCTTTCAGTGTCCCCGCTTGTACTTCTTACAGCACTGTGGCACATTTGTCACAGCTAAGTTGTCCACCCTAGTACATTCCTGGTCACTAAGCCCTGGCATTAGTGGGATTTCACTAGTTTTCCCCTGTGTCCTTTTTCTATCCCAGAATGTGCCATTACACCAACTTCATGTCTCCTTAGAGTCCCTGGGCTTGTGACCAGGGACAGCACATTGGGTCACAACTTCCATCTGGCTGTGGGTCCTTTGCAAGAGAAAAATATCTGGAAGGCCCTAGAGGGACTCATATTTTTGATTGTTTTGAGACGCATCGGTCAGGCATTCGGTAGAAGGTCCCTGAGTTGGGGTTCATAGGCTTTTTCATGGTTCAGCTGGGAGAGGACCATACAGATGAGGGGCCCTTGTCACAGCCTGTTAAGGTACAGGCGGTCAGCATGGTTTCTTGCTGATGAGATCATCTGATCACTGCCCAGGATAATCTCTGCCAGGTTCTCCACAACTAAGGGACTTCCTCTGCTTTGCCACAACCTCTCTTTGGAAGCGAGTCACCAAGTGCAGCCCCTAAAACAGCTCTCCTGATGTTATCTATGTTGGGGTTTCTTCACTTCCCTTGGGAGTTGCTTAGCCTGCGTGGTTGCTATAAATGATCTTGAGGTCTGCAGAGTGGGTGTGGATCCTGCTGTCCAGGAAATAGATTTGGAATAATGAGGTGATATTGACCCAGCACAGAGGGGTAAGGTGGTGTGCCAAGACAGAGACTAGCTTGGCCGCCAGCCTAGGGTAGGCAGGATATTCCTGAGTGAGGAACTTGCAACATAGACTTGGGCAGGTGTGTGGGCAGGAAGTGACTCTGGAGCAATGGTGTTGGAGAGGGGATAGCTGCCCTCCAGCTCTGCCTTGTTGCAGCAGACGTGGAGGAGGGGAAGACAGGCTTTTTGGGTAAGTTAGAGAGACCTCAGATCCCTCTCAAAAGAGTTTTAAATGTGCAAGATCAAATATATAATTACAAAAGAAGTCAGTTATACTGAAGTGCAATCATCCAAATGTTACAATCACATGACATAGTCACACATGCTGCTTTATCAAGTTAAACAGAAAGTTGACACTGGTCCCCACAGTATGGCAAATTCAAAGTGATGACCAGTGTGCTTGTGGTAGCTGACACAGTTGTGATAAGCACCTGCCTGTGGTCACAACCAGCGACATTGCTTGGGAATGAAATGCTGAATTGCAGTTAGAGGTTTGTGAAAGCAATGATGCATAATTCTCCTTTTCCAGGAACAGAGCTGCTGAATTCTATACATGGATCCCAAGGCGTCCAAGGGCGAGGCGTAGAAGCCCTGCTCTAGAAGAAGGGGCAGCAGCACATCAGCTCACACTCTTTGTCCTGCTGTGGGTCTGGAGGGCAGTGACCATCAGCTTTGGACCAGGGGTGGACACAGAGAGTGCTGGCCCTTCTGGGTTAGGTTTCCAAAAGTCAGGAGCAGTTACAGGTATTTGCATGGCTCGATGCTCTCTAGAGCCTGTGTGCCCAGAGGCTGTTTTGCCATCTGGGTCTCCATTTCTACATTTCCACTCTAGATGCTTGTCCTGAACACAAAATAATATTTCAACAATAGATAGTGCACAGCAAGTCTGGCCACATGCATGATCTGTAGGGACAAGCCAGGCCTCCTTTTTTTTTTTTGGTGGAACTGGGGTTTGAACTTAGACTTTCTGCTTTCAAGGCAGGTGCTTTATTACTCAAGCCACACCTCCAGTCTAAGCCAGGGCTTCTGCTGCCCTTTTCCTTGCTGCTTCTTCTCAGACAAATCTCACCATCAGAGTCACTGGACTGGTTCCTAGGTGGAGCCCACACCTACCTGCTCAAGTTTTTGTTTCAGGCTATGGAAACACTTCCACAGTGTCCTGTTTGGAATCCCAGGACATAAAGTGAGGTTCAGCCTTGTGGGGTTGGAGATGGACCTGGGGAGGAGCCTAGTGAGCCAGTAAGCCTCTTTTTATCTAAGGTTAAATTTTTCTGCAACTCTGAAGCATGAAATGGTGACCCTAGCCCAAGGGCAACCTGACCTCCAAGTTCCTGGACCCCAAACCAGTAAGGTCTGTATTTCTTAAGGGGAAGATCTAATTGATCCAGCTTGGCTCAGAAGGTCAATCAACTATGACTTACAGCAGGTGCTCCAAAAAGTTGGTGCCTTTGTGGCAGGTAAATTGGCATGTCATTTTTGCACAGTGACATCCCCTGACAACCATGCTCACTGTGACAGTACATGCCCTTCCTCATCCCCACTCTGAGAAGTGTTTCCTGAAGTCCAAGTCCTCTCTGGGAAGCATGGGCCACCTGTGTAGATGACACATGCACCATCGGTAGTGAGTGCATGTCACATTGTCTGTCCTTCCTCGACAAAAGTAGTGATTTCTTACTTCTAGGTCATCAGGGCCAGACCAGTGCCAAACACTGTTTATCAAAAAAACAAGAGGTTTTTGAATGCAATAATATTATTGGATCTAGGTCACACACTAAAGGGAGAACATGCATGGGAGGAATAGGGAAAGGGAAGGAAACCTAAAACTTCAATGTGGTTGATGTGCTCACTGTAGAGGAGCAAATAAAGTAATCTTAAACTGGCAGAGACCACTATGGGAAGGGGACCAGAAAGTAGTGAAGAGGTCTGGTAGAGATAAACCAATCTGGGTTGTAATATACAAGTGCATGGAAGCAATGCTAGGAATCTCTCTGTATAGATGTCTTTATCTCAAACTAGCAAAAACTCTATGTCTTTATTATTATCTCTTATGTTTTCTCTTCAAAAAATCAGAGAATAAGAGGGAGGAACAACAGGTTCTTCCCAGAAGCAGTGTGGGGGGACACTGGGGAAGATGTGTTTGGTCCATTGTTTGTGAACCAAACAATCTATACACATGTGAGTAGAAGTAAAAATGATAAAATTAAAAAAAGAGGTTTTTGATAAATATGTAGTACACACTTCCTCTTGGATTAGTGTGCATTGGAGTTCCTTTCTCCTTTTTATTCTTTGTCTGTAAGTAGTTCTCCTTGCTTCACACATCAGGAAACCAAAGCTCACAGGGATTAAAAGTCTTAGCCAGCCATTTCTAAAATGGACCATCCCCCTAAATGCCCATTAAAACACTTCACTGAGCACATGTGCAACTCATGCCCCACCAATGACCATCCTGGGATCATAGAACATCAGTTAGTTTCTGGGACCAAGACTGTGGGTGCCCATAATAGTTTATGGCCCGTGGATGTTTTTGTCTTGCCATTAAACAGGCCCACTCAGGCTTGGGTGGCCTGCTTTTATGTTTCCTTTATCTGGCTTTTAATTTTTCTCCTTCCTCCTTTGCTGGCAAGCTGTTTTTCCAAAGTTATCAATAAGCTTGCTTCTAGCAGTTTTCTCTCTTTTGATAGGATGGACTGAGATATCCACATTTTCAGTACTTTGTAAAAAAAAAATAAAAAAACGAGGCTTAGAATGGAGATCCAAAGACGTTCTGCATAGAATGTACAAAATAGTGTGCTGGCTTTGTGCTTCTCCTTAGAAGTCAGTTTTGCTCAGTCAGTACTACATTTAGAAAGAACCTAGATTCAGTTAGAACTTAGGTTTCTGAATGCAGAGAAAGTACTTATTTTGTTAGTGGGGATGATGGAGAACACAAGCACATCATTTGAGACAGGGTTTCACCACATTGCCCAGGCTGGCCTCAAAGGTCTAGACTTTAGCAATTGACCTCTCAGTCTTCTAAGAAGCAGATATTACAGGCACATACCATCATGCCTAGCAACTATGATTATATATATATCTCTTTCTATCTGTACCTATATCTGTCTATATCATCTAAATATAAAAGAAAATGCTTTGTAATAAAATTCTCTGGGCCTTTCCCCCAAATCCCATTGTCTCAAAACCTTAAGGACCTGATAGCCTTGTAATTTCTCCCAAAGTCTACAGATTTATCTTAACCTAAGACACCCACAGAACTCCATGATCTAACCTCCAGTTTTGAAAAACAAAGATGCTGGAATGTTCTTGGAAACAATTCATGTGACAAATGTATTGGAGTTGAGTCTCCCCTGGACTGTATTAGGTTATTATCATGTGGTTTTTTTTTTGGGGGGAGGGGGAAAGTTAATGAGGGGACTTTGACCAGAAGGCATCAAAAGTTATTTGCCTTATCCATTCCAGATCCCTGCATGCCTACACATACAGCTTGGCATGAGCTCTAAGCTGAGCTGAAAAAGACACTCATACCCTTCCCACCTCAAAGATGCTGGATTGTAAGTCAAGTAACAGCATGAAACAAGACCGAGCAGTCTATGACTAAAGTAAAAGAGCACGCTCCCTGACCTCAAGGTATCCACTGTCTACTTAGGGATACAAGAAGGTATTGAATAAAAGAGTATGTGAATGAATGCTTAAAATTCTGTTTTATATTTATGGTTATTTTAGTTAGAATGCATTGGCAAATCTGATGTTTGAGTTTCAGAATTTATGTGTCTAAGCCTATCTCTAAACTTTTAAGTTTCCATGTAGAGAACGTCTATGATGTAATTTCTACCATTTGCCCATTGATTGAATGTGCTCAATGCTCCATCATTGCCTCATAGCAATCGAATATATGAGAAAATCCACCAAATCCAGTAAGTTGATTTGCTGATGGTTTATTGCTTTAAGGAGAAAAGCTGTAAACAAAGAATTTGAGCAATGTGAACCCCTCATATTGAGCAAACACATTCCATGCTACACAAATCATGAGAAAAATGAGGACTGTTGTGAAATATGACAGCTTGCCCAAGAACCATTATTCCTCTATTGGGAAATTCTAAGACAGTTCTTCATGTGTAGTATTTATTTGCTTACAAAAATGGCAGTAGAAATATTTAAATATAAAATCACAGTTTGAAAATAGATATATACATACATACATACACATATATGTGCAAGAATATACAGTTAATCCTATGACCATTCACGAATTGACTATGTAGTCTGTCAAAATGGTGACTTTGCATAAATATGAACCTTTAAAAAGCAGTGACACCATTCAACAGGACAGTCACAGGCTGCATTGCTTTTTATGCTTGTCATGGATAGTACAATATTTAGGGATGTGATGGACAATTCTATCATTTGAAGCTACTTTCTTTTATTGGTTTCCAAGTGACCTTTAAAGTTAAATCTGTGTCAATAAAGCACCTCTGTGAAGGTCATATCTATAGCTTAGAGTCAGAATAAACAACTGAGGCAGGAGAGATGGCTCAGGTGTCAGATTACTCTTAGTTTATGATCCTGGTCCTCTTCTTTGGCTGGGAAGACCTTGAGCAAATTACTTAACTCCATGAGACTCAGCTATCTTATCTCTAAAACAGGACAATGATGATGGCATATGTCCTGGGTTCATTATGAGAACTAAATGAGATATGGCAGTATAACACCTAACGGCAGGTCTGGCATGTGCTGAGGGCTTGCTAAACACTTACAAGGTTCTAGCAAGAACCAGTGGTTTGGTGAATTTGGGTCTTCCTCCCTCTCTCACAATGCCAGGGAAATGTGGTCTTATTACTCAAGGAAACTTCTTCATTGAAAGTTAACTAATCCATAGTGTGCCTTTCCTTCATCACAGAGCAAAAGGGACAGGAAGAGAAATCTATTGGTCTATTCAAACTTCTGCCTGCCATTGTGAGACTCCAGGTTCTTCTGAGAGGCTTCCCCAAAAGCAAGGTAGAGTAGAAGAAGCTTGGGTCTGAGCCCCAATTCCTCAGCTCCTTTGAGTATCAGAGTTTCCATTTATAAAATGGGAAGAGATGTGTACTCAAAATCACAGTGATAATTGAGAAGATAATGTAAAACTTCCCATGGTACTTGGCACCAAATGCTATAAGAAATGAAAAATTTCATTGTAATCATTATTCTTAATTTTTCTCGGATCAGGCCACATCATTGCAGAACAATTCTGTTAGAAAGAGTTTTGTTATATTGGGCCCAAACATCCTTCTCTATGACTTCAACTTATGGGTCAAAGATGCTCCCACTGGGCCCAGTATAAGCCAGGTCCATTTCTCAAAACTAATAGTAGCTGAATCACTCTGGCTAGTCCATGCCACCTATTCCCAGGATAGCTCTCAACAGCTACAACCAGCCTGTATGATCTTGGAAGCTATATTCAGTTTCCCAAATCAGGATGCAAATATAGTAAGGATCTAGCTCTGAGTTTCTGCTGAATTTCCTATGGGCTTAGCTGTTGTAGCTGGTGTTTACACTTTAAGAAAATACAACCCAACTCACACAGACTTAGAGAAGGGATTAGTCACAGGGTAAATGCTCTTCACAGAAGAATTCTTGAACGTATATGAAAATACATTTCTTTAAATTGTATTATTAAATGTCTCTTCCTTTGATACTTAATATAAGATTTCCACTGATAAAAATTAGACTGTCACACAACTGGAAGAAGAGTCCTTTAAATAAAGTTAGGAACATATGTATAATTTACTTTATCCATCAAATATGTGTTGAGCACCACTATATGCCTTGCACTGGACTAGGCCTCTGTGAGTTCACAGTAAGAGGGGCAAATTCCCAGTCCCTTTTCTACCTGCATGCTGCCCACAGGTCCCTGGGGACCATCTTTACCTCATCCGATATGTGGTGTTGAAAATCCATGGTGTGAGCTGATGTTTTGAGGGAATGATGATCTATAGGGATGAGTGGATTTCTTTCTATTCCATATATTTTAGATTTTATATTATCAGAAAATCAGACACTCTGTTCTTTTGAGGGAGCTAGGAGAACAATATTAAGAACAAAATAATGAGAGCAAAAGTTGCTTGTTTCAATATCTTTTCTTATTCTGGCACATTTGGAAGCCCAGAAGCAGGGGATTATGAGTTGAGAACCCTAATTCCCTCACATTGACCTTGGCCAAGTTTCCTTACTCTCTGAGCTTCCATTTCACATTTGTAAGAACAGAAATAACAATGGAAATTTCTCAACATTACCATGAAGATTCAATGAGCAACTAACTATATGTGTAGCACTGAGAACAAAGCCTAGCACATAGGAGAAACTAAATGAAAGAAATGGCAGCAAACATTATATCCTACTAACAAAAATAAATAACAGTCTTATTTCCGTTTATAACCATTTCTTTTCCTTTTAACTTCAACCCCTTTTAGCTTTTAACTTCTATTAAATACATTTCCATTTTTAAACAACTGGTCAATCTCTCTTCAGACAAGAAATCTGAGTTTTTAGGTCCTTAACCCCAAAGATTGTGAAGCAGGTTTCTGCCACACACAGAAATACGTACTGGGCCAGAGACCTTGAGGTCTTATACCCTCCCACCAGAGAGACCACCTAGGCTAGTGAAGGGTAATCCACTTTGTGGCTTAGCCCATACCTGGTCTGGCAGATCTGTTCTGGACTTCAAGGTAATTTCTCAAAGCCCCATAAGAGTAGAGGAGTGTTCCAGGGCTTCACTCAGGGGCCAGAGAATCCATTCCAAGGGCTTGATCAACCCCCCCAAGCTCCAGGAAAAGGCAGGGTCAGAATGGAAGGAAGAGGAGCCTGGCCAGCTTCTGGAAGAACAGCCAGTCAGCAGCAGATTCCATGCTCTGGTCAATTGCTACTTCTGAAATTAACTGACTTTGCCTTGTCCCTGGAGGATCAACTGGAGGCTTTTCTCATGAACAGAAGTGAAATTTATCAAATTGCATTTCTGATTGAGAGGAACCTAATTTGTACCCTTTACAGTACAGAGAAGAAGTTTAACCTCAACAATGCCCAGGTTAGCAAATATAACTTTCCATTAAAAATCAAAAGCAAACAATTATTCACCTCTTTGGCAAATGTTTGGTGGCCTTGTGGTACATATACCTTTGGAATCAGAGCTATGTTAGGTGTGCTATGGACAGAATTCCTCATTAGAGTGCCAAACGAAAGGGTCCAAATAATAGCTTATTCTACCATCCCCCATCTCATCCATCCTTTTAAACGAACCCCAAAGGTCTTTCAGTTTAAGATATTGGGTCTCCAGCTGATTTCACTCCTTGGCACATGGGCGAGATCCATCAGGATTTCAGATGACTCTGAGAGACTAGACTAGGCTTTGTTCTTGTCCAGAACATCCAGAGGCAGAAACTTTCTTTGGAATGATGCAGAATGACACCAAGGAGGAAACCTGTTATCTGAGCCTAAGCAGCACCATATTGGGTCATTTGGGTAGTTGAAAACAGGAATGGAGACTGAGGGTTCAGATCAGGGTAATTAGAAGTGAGTAGGAAGTAGACAAAAGAAGGTTTCATTGTGAAGTTATTGGCCACAGAGGGCTGACTGCTTTGCGTTCACTGACCAGGCCCTAAGCCCCATGATTTATGCCAGCCTAATTGGCAATTTCTGAGATTTCAGGGTACGATTCCAAGTCTGCAAAGATATCATTAGGATTCCTACAGCTCAGATTGCAAAAGCAAGCATTAATCCATAGGACCTGGCGGGAGAAGCCTGGCCCCTCTGGACACTGGAAGGAGACATCAATGGTCCTGGACTTGTAAGGAATGCAGCACCTGTCATCCGTGCAGACTCCACAGTACTTGGGTCGGTAGGAGTAGGTGCTAACACAGCCTGCAAGAGTGAAGTTCACGGGTGCTTCTGGCTGGTACACAGCCAGACACTTCTTCCCTGCCTGCAGGAAAGAAAAGGAACTTTCAGTTGGCGAGCTCAGAGGCTACACGATCACCTTATTCCCTCCAAACCCCAGTCCTTCCCTTCACATTCACTGTGCACTTCATCTTTCTTCTACAGTCTTCAAACAAAGGATGTTAGCAAATACAGTGAGACCTAGCTGCATCACACAGGGCTGGACTGAGAGTCACAGAAGGGGATTCCCTTGCTGGGTTGTATCTCACAGCCTGCAGTGTCCCTTCCCTCTTGAATGTTTGCCTTGCCATTGTGCACTCATAGTGGCTTCACCAGCACAGGACATCTTGATAGTTCTTTCAGTCAACTGAACTCCCACTGCTAGCCAGTGACAGCTGGCATGGGGCGTCATGATCACAGCATGCTTTACCCCTCCCCCAGTCTCCCCCAGTCTCATTCTTGCCTACAGTTATCATGCAATGCGTTGCACATGATTGATATTAATTAAAGGTAACTCCATCCTTCTATGGGTCTTAGGGCCACTTGAGACTTGGGGATCTTTCTGTGTCTCTGGTGCAATTCTGTGCCTGGTACATAGTAGGCACTTACTAAATACATTGGACTAGTGGTTCTTGGAGTCTACTATGTACCGGCAGCATGCGAGAGCTAGAGTAGAGCAGATCCAGGCTATTTGGGGTATGGGCTTATATAGTGCAGGGAACATACTCATGGAAACAAAACTGGGAAGGAATCATGAGTCTATGGTGAGGGGCCCGCATCAGCCTGTGGTAAATTCATCTCCACAGCTTAGGACCCTCCCTTCCATTTCTCCCACTGCTAGGACCTTTCCATCCACATTTCCAGTTAGGAGACATCTGCTGAGGACCTGCTGTGTCCCCAAAGGTCAGAATAGTTGGGGAGATAGAGATGAAGAAGAAAGGGGAAGAAGGAGAAGGAAGAAGAAAGTGTGTCCAGCCAATCAGCAGAGACAGCTGGAGAAGCTCTCTTGGGGATAAGATGTGATGTTCAATGTCTAAAAAGGAGGTTGGGAAGCTGGGCCATTTTGTCATCTGGGCAGTCCTTCCTCAGCATCCTCCAAAAACCATCCTGCTTCCAAAATGGAACCGGGGCTGAGTTCTGCTTAATTTTGCTTTGTAGTCTAAGGTGTGAGTGAGGGGCATTGAGTTAGGCAAGTAAGTCCCATGTCTAACTCTGAAGGTTGGACTCAGCCTACTATGGCCTGGAATGTCCTTAGTGCTTCATTTCATGATGTTTGGCTCTCATAACTGGAAGGGATATTTCAGAGGTCATCACCAGCATTGTAATGATGGAGACTGACATTCAGGGTTAAGAGATCAGCCACAATCAGAGGCACCTAACAGCAGATAGACATTTGAGTCCACCTGCCCCAAGTCCTACCTATTGCTCCTGTGTCATCCCCTGTGGCTGTCCACAGGTGGTGGGGGGGCCCTACCATGGGAGTGGTGAGGATCCCTCAGAATCATTACAGAAGAGCACTTGGTACATCCCGAGTTCTCTATGGAGTGACCTTAACCACAAAAGCTTCCACCAAGTGAAATTCACAATGCACCAGCTTGGTAACCCATATTGTCCTAAATCACTAACACACCAGGTGTACCAGGTGAGCTGAATTATTCCTACTTTACAAATGGCCCCACAAGGAAGCTCAGAAGCCAGGCTGAATGCCTGCTTTGTCTGCTTGTTAAGTCTGAGACAACAACCCCTGCTCTTCACCCACCTTGATATGAGCGTGGATGTCCACATCACATGGCCGCAGGTTACAGAGGCGGCTCTCCTGCTTAGGCCAGCACCGGGCATTGATGTTGGAGATCCGAGTGGAGACCCCTAGGCCACAGGTGGTAGAGCAGGGGCTCCAGGGGCTGGTGTAGGCTATGCAGTTTCTGTGCCAGGGCTCTACCTCACCTGCAGCCGCTGTAGGAGAACACCAGAGTCCCCATGAATCTCCAGTCTCCATCCCCCACCAATCCTTACCATCAACACATTAAGGAGGTGTAGGGTCCCCAAAACTCAGAGAGAAGGAGAGAGACAGAGATAAGCAGGTAGCCAGATAATGAGCTAGGCAGACAGGGGGACAGAGACAGAGACAGATAGACAGGCAGAGAACTGGGTTGTCCCTGCCCACGGGAGGGAAAATTGGCTTCTAACAAGCTGGGGTACCCAGGGAGGGGAGGCCTCATTTTGGTCCTTATATTTTTTTATGATTGAGAAGAAGCATGGATTCATGGGAGGAAAGCTATCTTTAGAGACAAGCAGACCCAAGTTCAAATCCTTCTCCACCATCTGCAAGCTGTGTAACCTTAGATATCTCACTCTGGGCCTAGCCTCCTCATTAGAACCATCCAATTTGCCTTGTGGGACTGGTATGACCACAAACAGGGTCTAGGTTGTGATTGACTTTGTACCAAGCATCCTGCCAGGTGCTTGGAAATAGTGGTTAAAGGGACATTGTCCCCCTTTAGAGATGAAGTGCATTGTGGGAGTTCAAAGGTGGGTACCCACATCTCAGCACCTAACGTTCTGTGTTGGTAATGCTGAGGGCACAATGGGTAAGGGGACCCCGGGCTTCAGTGTCACAATACATGGGTTCAACTTGCAGCATTGTTTCTTATGAGCTGTGTAACTTCCCACCAGCTAGCTACCATACATATCTGGGCCTCCACTTCCCCATGCAAACAGGGCTTACACCAGCTTCAGTCTCCCAGTGCTGGATCAGAAAGGACAAGGTCATGCATGTGAAAGTGCTCCAGCTGTTCTCCACCTGACCCTTAGTGAGCCCAGAGTCTATGACAGCTTGTGTGATTACTTGACTGTTGTTACCTGACTACCAAGCCCTTGGGCTGCCCAATGAACACAGGCAGCCTCAGCATCTGAAACGGGTGTGTGCTCAATCATGGGTACTGAGAAGTGGATGATAGCAATCTAGAGACTGAGGCAGGTCAGACAGAGTACTGCAGAAAGTACTCAAAGAGTACACAGAAAGACAGGGCAGACATACAGGTCAAAATCCCACCTGGACTCACAGGCACCTGAAGCCAAAGAGAAAGGACTAAAGCAGAGAGGGAAGGGGTGGACAGATGGAAGGGCAGAAAAAAGAGGTGTGTTTGGGGGAGGAGAATGAGGGCAAGGGGGGAGAAAAGTAACAAAAGAATAGGGGGAAATTCATAGCCCCTGGAGCTTGCAAGTGTGCAGGGGATGATGGAGAGTAAACAAAAGAGAGAGAAAGAAGAAGAAGAAGAAGAAGAAGAAGAAGAAGAAGAAGAAGAAGAAGAAGAAGAAGAAGAAGAAGAACAAGAAGAAGAACAAGAAGAAGAACAAGAAGAAGAACAACAACAAGAACAACAAGAACAAGAAGAACAAGAAGAAGAAGAAGAAGAAGAAGAAGAAGAAGAAGAAGAAGAAGAAGAAGAAGAAGAAGAAGAACAAGAACAAGAAGAAGAACAAGAAGAAGAAGGAGAAGAAGAACAAGAACAAGAACAAGAACAAGAAGAACAACAAAAAGAAGAAGAAGAAGAAGAAGAAGAAGAAGAAGAAGAAGAAGAAGAAGAAGAAGAAGAAGAAGAAGAACAAGAAGAAGAAGAAGAACAAGAAGAAGAAGAACAAGAAGAAGAACAAGAAGAAGAAGAAGAAGAAGAAGAAGAAGAAGAAGAAGAGAAGAAGAAGAAGAAGAACAAGAAGAAGAAGAAGAAGAACAAGAACAAGAACAAGAACAAGAACAAGAACAAGAACAAGAACAAGAACAAGAACAAGAACAAGAACAAGAACAAGAAGAACAAGAAGAACAAGAAGAAATAATGAGAGATACCACAGACAAGGGAGAAAGCAGAGTTATCCAGGAACAGAGGGGGGCAGGGCTGGCAGTGAGTGTAGAGGTGCGGAGGGGATTCATCTAGGGAGATGAAAGGGCTTTGGCTTCTAGATTACCTCCACAGCACTGCAAGGGTTCTGCTTGTGCTCATCAGAATGGGGTCACTGGGCCATACACAATGTGCAGACAACCTCTGCCTCCCCCTCTACTGCCCAGTAACCCTTGTGTAGCACTGCCAGGGGGGCCGGGGTGGGACAACTGCCCTACTGCTGCCTTCTATTGACAAAGGGCTGCTTCTTCACCTGGGTTGTGTCCCCTGGGGCACATTTGGATGTGGGGCCACTGATATTTAGTGGGTGGAGGCAGGGATACTACAAAACCTCCTCCACTGCTCAGGACAGCTGCACAACAAAGAATCAGCCAGTTCAGAGTACTCTCAGTGCTGAGGCTGAGAGTATGCGTACAGGTTGTGAGCAATCTCATGCACTTATATTTTGTAAGATTACCAGTACAACAAAAGAGCTGCACCTAAAAACCCCAGTACCACTGCTTCCCTCCTCAGGTCCACTTGCCTGGGAGGGGCTTTCCTCTAGTGATGTTCTCTTTTCCTAGCTTCCATTGCACAAGATACTCATAGTCTTCCCACACCTCTCTCTCTCTCTCTCTCTCTCTCTCTCTGTCTCTCATCTCCTCCTCTTTTGTCCATCCCTCAAATATCAGCCTCCCAAAACCAGTGCCCTAGGCCTACTCTGTGTGCTGTTCTTAGGCTATACCAACTGCTATCAGCAGCTCCAAGTGTGTAACTCCAGAGTTCTCTCCCTACCCATCTCTCTCATTCAAAACTGCCCACATTGGCTGTTCCTCTCTCTGCACTCATCACAAATTTGATCTGTCTCACACCAGGCAGAACTCCTTCACCCTAAATGTGTTCCTCTTGTTCTATCTCCTAGCCAACAGCAACCCCCAGGAGCATCTTCAAGTCCTCTCTCTCCTTTATCCCATGCTTGGCATAGACACGAGGACCATTGTGCTTTCTCAAGCAATGCCTCTTGCGTTTGTTCCTCCCTTACCATCTCTACACCCTCTGCCCATCCATCCATCCATCCAGTCATCCATCTATCACTCATCCATCTATCCTTCATCCATCCACCCATCCTCCATCCATATCCATTATTTATCTATCTATCTATCCGTTATCCATCCATTCACCTATTCAACCAAACATCTGTCTACCTAAATGAATTACTTGGATATCTAAGTGTCTGGGATTGGGTTAGGCTCCAGTAATCAGTGGTGAAACAAATATGCCCTTCCCTGGCCTTCCTTTCCAGGACTTCCTCTTATCAGGCTTATCTGGTTGAATCCTTACCTGCCCACCCATTCTCCCGAGTAAAAGACAACTTTGAGTCATCTGGAAGCCCTGATTAGACCTACCTTCTCCCTCTCCCGCCCTGGCACATGTTACTCGTTCTTGCCGTCCTAAAAAGACCCTTTCTACCCCTTCCTCTACTCCCTCAGAAACACTTCAGTACGATGATAATGCCCTGTGTGTGTAGAGTGTCATTCTTCACAAAGCACTCCTTATTTTGTGCTGGAAGACCCCATAAGGCAGGTAGACTGTCTAATTTCTATTTTATAGGTGGGAAAATGGGATCTCAGGAAGGTGTGACTTCCCCAAGTCCACATAGCTGGTAAACTGTGGACTGGGTAGTGGAATTTAGGGATTGAGTTTTCCCAGGGGCTGTTGTTCCAGGAGGACTGTAACCCTTATAGTCCCCATCTGGCCCAACATATACCTACCAAAGGCACTGGTGTCATGCAGTGCGGTCTGTCGAGGCCTCCTAGAGTCATCGTCACACACCCACTGTTCACAGCATTGGCCGGGCACACTCACACGCCTGGGCTGGTGGCACCAGAGACGCGGGGGCTGAGTGTGGAGGCACAGTGGTGTGCAGCCCACTGAGCCATCGATGCACGTGCAGTTGTACCTACAGCTGGGCTGGAAGGACTCACCATTGGTGTAGCGCACACCATCCAGGACGCAGCCCACGCCAACCACCTCTGCAAGCACAAGCAGCAGTGGGTCAGGTAGGGCCTGGGCTCCAGGCCAGGCTGCTTCTGCACAGCCTTCCTCTGCCCCATGAACTCAAGCTCAGAAATGACTCCCGATAGGAGCGAATGGCAGGCTGGGCCCAGTAATAACTGCAAGGGCTAAGGCAGACAGGAGGGGTGAAAGAGTTGGGCACATCTGGGAGGCAGGGAGTCGGGTGGGCTGAAATTGGGTGTGTAGGATCCTTCCCAACATCATTTAGAACTCCTGAGGACCCTAGGGCTGGCTGATGGGTGAGAGGCTCCAACACCTTCAGGGCAGGGGTCCAGGCAGCTTGCTCTCCACAGTGTCCCCAGTGTAGGGCCTGGTACTGATAAATGCATGACCAGAGGGCTCGTGTGAGGGAAGTACTGGAAATTCAGTCCTACACAGAATCTTTGACAGCCCTGCCCTCAAAGAACTCACACAGAGGCACGGTGGCACAGGGAAGATAAACAGGTCAAACAGAGCATTGATGATGACAGTGGCTGGTAGCAAGTGTTCAGGGAAAGGGGAGAAGGAGGTGTAGTTAGCAATTTGCAGCTATAAATTGAAATGAGGTGGGCCAGGATGCCTCCACTGAGGGAAAATGCTTTCTTCCTTTCTTCCTCAAAGACCAGAAAGAGGGAGGAGGAGAGCTGGCTCAGGGGCGGGGGGTGGAGACTTCCAGGCAAGGAGGGCACCTCCTAGAGGTACAAAGACTGGAGGTAAAAGCACTGGAAGGTGGGGGAGGAAAGGAGAGAGGGAAGTTGAGGTCAGCCATGGCTTCTTCTTGACTCAGGGGAAGATGAAAAGCTGTTGGAGCCTAGAACCATGCCAGGCATACAGCCAGTGCTCAAGAAGTAACTGTTGAGGGAGTGAAATGAATTAGGCTTTACAAGAAAACTCATGCTGAGCAGACAACAGTCTGGAGAGGGGCAAAGGGCATTGGAAGTGACCCTAGTAACCCAGGCAGGAGCTGGTGACAGCTCAGAATAGGGAGGGACCTGTGGTCCTGGGGAGGAGTTTCAGCTTTGGGGACATTAGGAATGAGGGCTGGCAGGACTTGTTGGTGGAGGGGTGGGACGGAGGAGGAGAGGGGTCCAGAATGATGCCTGGCTCTTGTCCTGAGCCCTGGAAGCTAAGAGATTCTCTGTCATCCTCAGAGGAGCTGCCACTGAGGTAGCTAGGATTGATCTGAGATGCCAGTGGTCATTCAAGAGGCCATGTGGTGGGTGGTTATGCAAACTGAGGCTCCAGGGAAGGTTTTGGGGGTAGCTGAGCCAAATGCCACCCTTGATGCTGGGTGCTTCATTGGGGACAATATCTGGAGAGAGTCCAGGGCCACTGGAGGAGGAGCAATATGGAGTCTATAGTCTCCTGTGGTTCTGCCCCTGTCCCTGCACTGACTGGGGGTGGGTGATAAAAATGGCTCTGACGTCTAGCAGGAGTGAAGTCTGTCTGAACACTGCCCCTGGGTCTGATCTGGGCAGGGTTTGTTGTATGACTTACTTTGTTCTATAAGGAAATACATTGTCATTTCCTAGTTACAAATAGCAAAACTGAATCTCAGCAGGGCAAAGTTGGATGTCCGAGGGGACCGCAGTAGGCAGCAGTAAGCAGCAGTCTCAGGGAAATGCATCCTGCTGTGGCTACTGTCTTCCTGGGGTGTGGTTAACCAGGGAGGAGTTGTGGAAAGTGAGGTGCCAGCACACAGTGACCATCTGACCTTGTACCACGCACCATCTGGTCCATGATCTCACACAGGCCTCCCAATGACGTCATGGGGAAAGTTTCATTTCCTTCATTTGGCAGACAGAAAAGGTCTGGAGGTTAAGTGATTTGTTCGCTCAAGATCAGAAGCTGATGAGTGATAGAAGTGGGAGGGAATTCAATGCAGGTGGTCTCACACCACAGCTCCTTTCCTCCCACTGGACACCAGAGAAGGAGAGGAGGTGGCGGGGAAGAAGAAGAGCAAGCAGAAGGGGAAGAAAGGGTGAATCACTCAGTTTGGTGTCCTGCCTCACCTCTGCCTCACTCTCTCACTCCAGGAAGTTATGTGTGAGTGTGTGAGTATGTGTGTGTGAGTATGGGTGTGAGTGTGTATGAGTGTGGGTATGTGTACCTATATGTATAGTTCTATGTGTGTGTAAGAGCCTGTGTTAGTGGAAAGAGGAGAGGGAGGAGGCTGAAGCCCACACCCTGCCCAGGTTGTAAGGGAAAGTGAGCCCAGGAATCTGGAGTCCTTGGCCCCATAGTCCTTGCATCAGCTTCTCAAAGGAGGCAGCCACACAACCTTGGGAAATGTTAATGCCCTGGCCATGCCCAACTGTGGAGTTGGATGTAGGTCTTAGTGCTTCTTTTCTTGGACTAAGTACTCCTTAAAGATCTCCACATGAATTCAGCTTGCAGTCAAATTGAGCTCCACTGTGTCTAGAAAGTGCCATGGTCTCCCTGGATCCATGGATGCAGACATAGGGCATGAGCCTGCCTTCAACAGCCCAATGGGAGGACAGGGGTGTGATGGTTGTAGATAGCCTGATCAGCAGAACTAGGGGCCCTTCTCATTCACTTTTCTTCTACCTAATGAGAAGATCAGTTCCTGATGAGAAGATGAGGCTAGTCACTTCCTATCTAACCTCTTTGCAAGGCTAGGAGTGGCTGGTGACCTTTCCTCTTATTGAAGGACTTCCCAGAACCAAAGTCACCTTGCTTTTCTACTGGGGCCTTTTCTCCCTTCACCCACAGCCATGTGGGAGCAGGGACAGTGGTCAGGTTTTGCAACTCCATCTTTGTGTTATCACTTATCTGTGCTCACCAAGTGAACAAATCAGTGGGCAGATGGGTGGGTAGATGGATGCACGTGAGCTAGGCTCCTACCAGGTACAGACATTTGCCAGCCCAACCACCCAGAGAACTCAGCATTTTTACATTGTTCTCAGTGAGCAAACTAAAATTTAAAAGGTTAGGTAACCTGCCTAAAGTCATAGGACAAGTTAAGGACAATGCTGGGATTCCAGGAAAGCTCAGGTTTTCTCACTCCAAGACCATGGTGGGGTTTAGGATTCCTTCACTCTACAGTGGGGTGGGGCTAGGCCTGAAGTAGACCTGCCTCTCTTCTGAGGGCAGCAGATGATCTTGGCCAAGAAAAGTTAAAGGAAAGCAAAGAAAACAAAAACCAAGGGCAGCAGTCACTTTTTTCCCATTTCCTTATTTATTCCTCATCTTCACACAAGGTTGGGTTCAGCAAGATCCTTAAGTGGCATGTCCACAGTCACGTAGCTAGCAAGAGGCAGAGCCAGGATTGAAACCCTACTCCATCTGCCTGTAACTATAATGATCCTTCTACTAAACCACTCTGCCCTCAGTCCTGACCGTGCTGCGTTAAATGTGATATTTGTGTAACTGAAACAGCCGAACAGTCTAAGACAGAGGTCACTTTGCCCATGAATGTATTTAGTTTGGCCCACACACAGAGTGCTTTTTTCAAATGTAAATGTATTGCCACATTTAAAAAACACACAAGTCTGGATTTCTGGGCTTTCCTGAAAACTGAGCAGACTGGATGGGACCAAACTCACTTTTTTTTCCGGCTGGCCACAGTGGCAGGAGACCAGGAGGGTGGTGTCTGATGGCCAGAGCTTGCACTTACCAGTTTGCCATCATCCCTGCTGTCCTCTTGTATTTTTTGCAATTACTCCTTTTTATCACCTGCCTTGTCCTGACCTCTAAAGACAGAGTCAGCTTGGCCTAGGGACTGTCCACTGGCTGAGCTGACCATGTGCTGAGAGGCTATCTGTGAAACTCTTCTTTCTCTTTTCCACCTGGTGCAGAGGGCTCTTCCTCTCTATACATTTAGAACTTGCTGTCTCCTTTCTTGCATTAGGGTCTCATAAATTCACACAGCATGGCAGCATTTCTAGGAAAATATTCAGGAGAACACTTGTGAGCTGCATGTGTGTGCACATGTATGCGTGTGCTATTTTTGTTGTGTGTGCATATGATACACTTGTGTATATTGTGTGTGAGTGGGGGGCCAAGGTAGGTGATAAGGTAAGAGGAGAGAGTTCAGTGTTTAAATACATTTGGAATGAAAAAGACCTTTTAGGGTAGCTCTTTTTGGAACTTGACAGTGGACATAAACATTTCAAGCCTCTGAGAAGTCCTATAACACCTGTTTAACTTTACTTATTCCAGTGTCTACAAACCTATGTGACCAGGGACCCCTTGGTATATGTAAAAACCTATTAAAATCTTCTTTGGACCACAAGTTGTTTTATTTGTTTGTTTTCCCTCGTGAATGGAAAGGAAATACATGCAGGCTCATGGTGGCAGGCTCATGGTGGAGGCAGGACCGGAGATGCAAAGACACCGGTGTAGGGTATGGGGGACAGAGATGGAAGTAGGAGTGGCAATCTCTGGCTAAGGTACAGGGCCTGGAGCATGATAAGATCTCAATACAGCCTTAGAGATTAGTATTATCACAGTAAACTGAACTGTCTTTTTAATGTCCTTGAAAACGGTTGTCAAAGAGGAAAAGAATTATGGACTATCCCACATGTCTGGAAGTGAGTCTAGCACAGGGAAGCTGGTCTAGGTTTCCCTACATGGGATATGGGAAAGGGTAAATGACTGACTGTGTATTTTAACAGTCAGTCTTGAACTTCAGCATGCAGAGAATCCCTTGGGGATCTCATTCATTCAAGGTATGGATTCCTGTCCCTACTTCCAGAGCACTTGATTCAGCAAGTCTGGGCTGGGGCTCAGACTTGAGTTCTCATTGAACATACTGTTTCATGGGGCTAATGATGGGGTGAAAACTGGAAGAATGTGTGTCAGGGGGAGCAGGGGTGATTTCTTATGTGCCCTATGTGAAAGTTGAAAGAGGAACAAGTGGTAAAAGAGAAGAAAGCCATAACTTAACCCTGAAGCTCAGACATTATTTTCTGACTTCTGATTATGTGCCTAGCTCTCGTGAACAAGCCATCTCTGGAATATAATTGTCAGCTGAGATAAGCGATTATGCCATGTGTGAATAGATAAAGGGATACATATGGAGGTATAATTCTGGAGCAGTCGATTCAGCACTAAGGGACAAGGATTTATGGATTTATGAGACCAGTGGAACTTTTCCAGAGTTAGAGAGCTCCATCATGATGCCTAGTTACTTTCTTCACCGTCCTGGGTTGTGTAACTTGGGTAATAAGGGAATTCAAACAAGGACATTCAAGTCCAGATAGAAGCAGGAGGTCATAAAATCCCAGGGAGATGCTTTTGGGAACATAAAAGGACCAAATACACATGTGGGAGCACTTGAAGAACAAACAATAGCAGCCTTCTTTCCAAACACAAAAATATGATCAAAATCAAGAGCAAAGAAAAAGCAAAGGCAATTAGAAACTTGAAGAAGAATAAAAGGCATCTTCAAAAAAAAGAAACTCAAACATGTACACTACCTCAGGCTACCATGAACATTTGCAAAGTTATAATACTATGAATACTGGTTATTATATAACGAAAAATTAGGAGGATGGTGCTTGGCAGATCAGGGAAGGTGTCCAATGGTTTTGAGAAGCTAAGTCATCAGATCTCATGTAGGAACATGAATAGATGATTCTAAATTGATGTATCAAGCCAATTAAGACACAGCAGAAGACAGGATATGTGATGGTGGTGACTGTAAGAAAGGCTATGGCAGTAACTGGAAGAACGTGGTCAGGAGGAAATGGCGACTGCAGGCTGATGGTTTTCATTATTTCAAGAGTACTGCCTTTTTGAACCTCATTATTTTATTCTAATTTATAGCATTACAAAATGTCTGGAGCTCGGCAGTGACCTGGTATCCCCTGGGAGACTGTAAGCCTCTATCAAAGGGTCCTACCTACCACAGTAACAAAACCAAGCTTGGGTATTTTCTGGTGGAAACTCCTTCCCCAGGAAAGCATGTCTCCAGGATGGAGAAGAAAGCATAAGTGAGGGGCAAGAGATACGCAGGCATCCCTCTCTCCCCGGGAAGAACCCAGCCCGTGGCTTCCAACCCCAACCCTGGCTTGGGATGGGGGTTCACCTTCTGCCAAGAAGCAGCCTGGCCAGGTATAGGGCTGCGGGTGTGCCAAGGGAGAGGGGCCTGGGGAGCTGGGGTTGGAAAGTAGAGAGGTTCTCACTTACGTGCACACACTCCTATTGCGTACCTCGGGCGGTCCCTACTGTAGTCGCAGTAGAGACCCCGATGGGGGTCACAAATGGCAGCCTCTGTGCAGTTGTCCCCAAGCTGTTGGGCACATATCTTACAGCATTCACAGCCATCTGTGATTAGACTAACCCCCAACGGGCAGTGGGGTGGGGACGGTGGGCATTCACATGGCCACTTGCAGAATTCAGGACGTGAGGATATGTCCTCCAGCAGGGCTGAGGTGAAGGCCATGGTTGTCGGGGTTGGAGAGAGGGCCTGTGGGGGAAGAGCAGAGGTGAAGAGGGGCTGCCAAGCCTGGAGTTTTGAAGCCTATAGGGCTGTGCAATTACCTTTCTATTTTCATGATGTTTAAAAGAATTTCCTAATTATTTTTTCTACCTCCATTCTTTAACCAAGCATCTCTTTTCTTCTCAATAAAACCAGTAAGAGTGAGGACCCCAAAGTTCAGAGAAGTTAAACCAATTGCCTGATTCCCACTTCTGGTGAAGTCCTGAGGCTCAGGCCTGATGTCAACCTAGACTTGTTTCCTTTCTTCCTTGATGGCCCCACAACCCCAAGCAGGTGAGGTGGACTCAGATACAGAGTGGGGGAAGTTGGGCAGGCTCCAAGCCTGCTGATGAATCACCCTGCTGTGGTGCAGCTCACGCTCTTGCTCTGTCCTGCAGATCCACCCTCTTTCCTACACCAAGTCCTCCATCTGACCAAGCCAGATGGCTCCTCTTTAACCCTAGGCTCAGCCAGCTCACCTGCCATTGTTACCATTTCCCTTCCAGAGTATCAGGGAAGGGCTGCCTGCTGTAGCAGCTGGAGTTAAGTCTCACAGCTCCTCATTAGATCTCACCTGGCCCTAGGGGAAGGGAGCTGTGCTCTGTTGCCAGATTAGTTCTGCATAAAGGTGTCTGCATTTTGCACTTGGGGTAAGGCCCCCCATTCCTCCTCCCTGTACCCCTCCACTGACAACAAATTTGCCTTTCAGACAAATGAAGCAGATGGAACAATGAGCCAGCTGGGAAGGGAAACTGAGGCTCCAAGAGCCATCCTGCTCTGCAGAATGGGGAAATTGAGGAACCCTGGGGTCTGAGGACGGGAGCTTCAAGCTTCAAGCTGTCTGTGTCTCTGGGATTCAGTCATTTGCCCAGCCCTCTCCTGCCTCCTTAAGTCCATCCAGGCCCTCACTTTTCCCTGGAAAAGACAAGTCCTGGAGGAGGAACAGAATCACAAGCATCTTTACTTGGTATCTTCTGAGCTGGTTCCTTCACTCAACAAACATTTTCTGAGCTAATGCAGAGCCTCCTTGAAGTTGTAGGTACTTAAAAATAAAATTAAAAATTCCCTGTATTTGGGGAACACACTGCTTATGAGACAAATGAATACTTAGGGGCGATTTACCATAATGTGAGGCATTGAGTGTTGGGCAAAGCACTGGACATGCCAAACCAAAGGAGGATGGATGCTTCCTAGACACCAGTGCCAGAATTGCTCTGCCCGTCTGGTCAGGGAGCACACTTAGTGGGAAGACCAGAGATGAGGTAATGCATGGTCTGACCCTTGGTTCTGGGCCTAGCATGTCGTAAGTGCAGTAAGTATACAAAAAATAAGGTGCTGCCCCCCTGGCCTGTTGTGAGCACCTGATGTTCAAAACCTCGAGATGCTTTATACGCTAGACACCTATGTTCATGTTTGGAGGTTAACATCCATGTGCTCCATGGGGTCCAGGGCAGGATGGGGCAGGTCTCTGCTGCCCAGGTCACCAAACAGTATCTATACAGTGCCTGTCCTCATTGGGAACAGATGGGGTGGGACAAGGACATCAAGGCTGTAGCATCTGTAGAGAAGGCCCTGCAGCTCTGAAGGCCTTGCAAAGAGCTCCACGGGAGTTGGTACAAAAATGGACACTCAAGCACACTTCCTTGGCACTGATAGGGTTTCCTCTTTCTCTCTGCCTACCACGCATCCCAGCACATTAGTGCACACTTCGGATTTGGGTAGAATGGGGTGTGTGCTGGGGGGCACCTAACTCCACAAGGTCACCATCCAATCCCTGCCTCCATCCCAACTTACAGATACCGGCAGGAAGCCTCTTTCCAAGTCCCACCCTCAATGTGGCTATTTGTCAGCCACAGGAAGACTGCCCCCAGGCAAAGGAAGCAGCTTCTGAGATGAGCCAGAGGGCTGCCCTCTGGGTCAAGCCTTTGCTATTGGTGCCACCTAGTGGTAACAAGGATCACGGCATCCAGGGAAATGGTCCAGTGAGGCATGGACCCAGTCTGAGGCAGCTGGGTTCCATGTGTGACCACTGAGTTCTGCTGTTTGCCCACCCTTGACAACCAGAGCATGAAACTGCAGGCCAGCAGCTAGTCCTGATTCCTGATGACCACCCAGGCCCCATCCTCTGTGTACACAGGAACACAGGAGGCTGGCCTGTGGTTCTGCCAGTCAGGAAGGACAGTTTAGCCAGGGATATATGCATGAATGCTCTCATTTGATAGTTCATGGGTACCTATTGAACACCTACTATGTGCTAGGCTCTGTTCTTGGCTGGAAGGAAGCAATGCTGCAGAGACAGAATTCTTAGCTTCGCTGGTACAGGGAGGCCAATGGGATGTGCATGATGGCATGATAAAAGCTGCAATGATGGCGTCCCTTCATTCATTCATTCATTCATTCATTCTTCCTTTCATTTGTTTACCCAACACATCTCTAATCTGGTGCTGGGCTCAATGCTGAGGACACAATGGGGAACCAAACAGACCTTCCCGTGGGACATTGGAGGAGTGGGGCCACTGTGTGTGCCAGGGTGAGCTGGCTTCTTGGAGGAGGTAGTGTGGCTGTAGCTATGTCTGTGGATCATGAAGGAAGAGCAGGAAGCAGCCATGAGGAAGGAAGGGTGGGAACTCAAAGAACAAGGATCAGCAAGTACAAAGGCACAGAGCTGGTGACATGTGCAGATGCCCAGGATACAGGGAGTAGTGTGACAAGTAGTGTGGTGAGGCTGACATAGGGCAGGTAGAGCGGGGTGGCGGGGGGGAGTGAAGTCCGATTAGATGACGACGGGTCCCCAGGCAGCATAGGTCCAGGAAGGCCTTGGATACCTCGCTTGGGTTGCAGCCTGCTGGAACAAGTCACTGAAGGGCTTTAGATGTGCTGGGGTAGATCTGGGTTTCAGGAACAGTGCCTTGTGTCAGGTCCAGCCTTGTCCCTGCTCATGTGACCCGAAGAATTCCCTGTCTGGGGCAAGGCTTTCTCCTCTGACATTCTTATTGCTGTTTATCCCACAGGTGATGTGATCATGTCCGTGGTCCTGCTGTTCCTTCCTTCCACTCAAGCCATCACCCCCATGACATGCAGGACAGGCCTGCTGCAGGCCCTCAGCTATTCTGGGTGACCTCATCTTGTCTTTCCATGGTCTCTGGTTTCACTATTCCCATTTCACAGATCAGTGAGGTAACCTGATGACTGCCCTCATCTAAAAGGTCAGAACTTGGATTCAAACCCAGATCTGCTTGGGTTCGTGTTTTCCCCATGATTGCACATAAGGGAGCCTTTTCTAATTAAAGAAACTGACTGACAGGTAGTGAGGATACCATCAAGAGAAGCAACCAAAGAAGAGCTGACAGTCATCTGGACCAGCAGTTGCTGAGGGAATCCAGCCTCACAAAGCCTTGAACAGTAAGTAGCAATAGTTTCTGTTCCCAGAATGAATTGATAGAGTTCATGTATATTTTCTCAACTGAACTGTGGACCCTGGAGGGCAGTAACTACCTGTCATCCACGTGTTTCCTGTGAGCAAAGTACACAGGTCCTCACCATCACCATCTCTAATATTTATGGAGCTTTCATTGCATTCAGAGAACTTTGAATTAGTATCTCATAATGCCCCCCACCATGACACACATTCCAGGCAGGCCTGGTTGTTCATTTTCCTTTGATCGATGAATAAATGGAGACTCAGAGTGTTAAGTGACTTGTAGAAGTCCACACAAGTAACCAGGGATGGAGCTAAGGTCTGCTTTGCCCAAAACTTTTAAGCTATTAGCTCATCAGTCCCTGTCTTCACTCTGCAGGGAAGACTGTGCCCTTGGGGTCTTTGGTGGCCAATGGGAGCAAGATTTTGTGATCCTTGTTCTCAAAATGCAAGCAATAAGCCCATTGCTCTCCTGTCTAAGCAATAAGCAAGTAGGCAAAACCCACAAAGCACAAAGATGAACGCCAAGTGGCCTGGGAGATTGGAGCTCGATGAAATGGGAAGACGTGAAGTGTCCCTTTGTGAGGAGGAGGCTGTGTATGCATACAGCCTCCATAGGTTTCCAAATGACACTGTTCTGCAGCTGGCCTCTGACCTCAGGACACTTGCCTGGGCCTGTGCACCCCTTTTCCAGGCTTGCATTTTCCCTGGGGACTGTAGTCTCCCCACTCTCCCCAGCACAAACTGGAGCTGGCCCCAAGCCCCGTTTCCTCCCACAGACAGCCCTGACTGCAACTTTCTTATCCACTGTGGACTGGGCCACTGTGCCTACTGTGAAGATGGACAGACTGACCTGTGCAGACCTGCTGACCCGTGGGCCCTGTGTTATTCCCAGAAGGAAAAAAAAAATACATCTAAAGCAAGGAGAATGTTGTCCACGGAAAGACAGAGAAAAAAAGAAAACTTTGACTTTTCCAAATTGAAGTTGCTCACATAAAAGTCGCTTTTACGATGTGCTTCTGGAACCAGGCCCTCTGAAGATGCCACTGTGTTCATGGGGAAGACAGGGAGGAGGTGGCAACTTCAGGATGCCAGGGACGGCTCAGCACAGCTGGTCCTGACCAGTTCTGCTTGCCTTTCAACTTCTTGGTACAATCGGCCTCACCTAGCCCCCACTCTTCAGCAACTCCTTCTGACTCCAGGGCTAGTGGATCCTAGGCAGGATTGAACTCAGCAGGTTCCCAAGTTTCCTCGGTATTAGAGCATTAACACTGATCGCTGGGTAGCTGGGTAGCCATTGTTCCCAGAGACCCTGACTTAAGCAGCCTGGGGGAGGAGCAGGAGCCTGGGCACTGGGGCAGAAAAGCATGAGCACCACTGGTCTGTGGAACTTGTCAATGCAGATTCCTGGGCCCTACTCTGCGTATCTGCCCTCAGTTCTTCTAGCTGGGGACCCAGAGCCCAGATTGACTAGCAGTCCTTATGACTCTTATGGGAATGGGGGATGGGGAGAAGGCATTGCGTTCAAATGCTGGACAGAGGGAAGGAATAAGGGAAGGGCTTCAACCTC